GCACTCTTCTTTCCCCCCCTTTGGGCTCCCTCCCGGGGAAGCTGCCCTCCCCCCTACTCAGGGCAGCTTCTAGTTCTATCTAGACTAAACTAAAACTAAAACTAAATACAGCACTACTCACGTTTGCCACTACGCAAAGACTTCCCTACTCCTACCAAACCAACCTACTCACCTTACTTAGCACTAAGTCTCCCTTTTTTTTTTTCCTTTTTTTCCGAGCTTCACACTCACCGTGCTTTTTCACTTTTTCTCTTCATCAGGGGGCTCCCCAATTCTTTTTCTTCTTTTTTCGTGTCTTTTTTCTTTGTGTGAGGGCTCTGTGGGGGGGGGTAGTGCGTTCTCCAAGACTCAAGACCGATTCACTGACTCACTTCCTCATCTTCCGGGGCCTCCTTGAAGGAACATGATGAGCCCCACCGAAACGCGAGCCCGACAATGCTAATCACTTGCCGTGACTCTCACTCACTACTTTCAGGGCTTCGCGCCTCAGAGTTTCGCGCCTCAGAGTTTCGGCAGGTCAGGGCTTTCCGCCTCAAAGTTGCGCCACGTCAGGGCTTAGCGCCTCAGAGTTTCACACCTCAGAGTTCCGGCGGGTCAGGGTTTAGCGCCTCAGAGTTCCGCGGGTCAGCGTTTTGCCGTCTCAGGGTTTCCCGCCTCAGAGTTGCGGAATGTCCGGGTTTAGCGCCTCAGAGTTTCGCCCCTCAGAGTTTCCGGAGGTCAGGGCTTCCCGCCTCAGAGTTGCGCAATGTCAGGGTTTAGCGCCTCAGAGTTTCACGCCTCAGAGTTTCGGCATGTCAGGGCTCCCCGCCTCAGAGTTGCGCCAGGTCAGGGTTTACCGCCTCAGAGTTTCCAAGGTCAGAGTTTCAGCGGGTCAGGGTTTCCCGCCTCAGAGTTGCGCAGTTTCAGGGTTTAGCGCCTCAGAGTTTCGGCATGTCAGGGCTTCCCGGCCTCAGAGTTGCGCAGTGTCAGGGTTTCGCGCCTCAGAGTTGCGCGCCTCGGAGTTTCGGCATGTCAGGGCTTTGCGCCTCAGAGTTCCCCGCCTCAGAGTTGCGCCAGGTCAGGGTTTAGCGCCTCAGAGTTTTGCGCCTCAGAGTTTTGCCGTCTCTGGGTTTCCCGCCTCAGAGTTGCGTAATGTCAGGGTTTAGCGCCTCAGAGTTTCGCGCCTCAGAGTTTCGGGATGTCAGGGCTTTCCGCCTCAGGGTTGCGCAATGTCAGGGCTTCGCGCCTCAGAGTTTCGCGCCTCAGAGTTTCGGCATGTCAGGGTTTAGCGCCTCCGAGTTTTGCGCCTCAGAGTTTTGCCGTCTCAGGGTTTCCCGCCTCAGAGTTGCGCAATGTCAGGGCTTAGCGCCTCAGAGTTTCGGGATGTCAGGGCTTCCCCCCTCAGAGTTGCGCAATGTCTTCAGGGCTTCGCGCCTCAGAGTTTCGCGCCTCAGAGTTTCGGCATGTCTGGGCTTCCCGCCTCAGAGTTTCGGCGGGTCACAGTTTCGGCGTGTGACACTGTTTCACCGAGTCGCGAAGACGTTAGCGGGCTCTAACGCGGCCGCCAGCCGCGTTTGGGCCGTCTAACGTCGGGCCCGCAAAGGGGCCCGAATCAGCTCGCGTACCGGGGGGAGATCGCCCGCGGTACGGTGAGCCCGGAGGCTGGAGCCCGCCCAAGAGCTCCGTGGGGTTGTTTTCTCCGAGAATCTGCGGGGAAATCTGCACGCGCCGGGGGGCATTGCCCTGAAGCTCACGGTCTCTTTCTCTCCTGCTCCTAGCAGCTCCTTCTCCCTCGTTCACCTTTCCCTCCTCTCGGACCGCTAAACACACGGGAAACGACTAGTATTAGTTTGTATCTAACTCTAGGTACGTCGAGGACAGAAAAAGAAAAAACGATACAAGTCTACCTCATGGTCCAGAAAAGGTTAATGACGTCATTTCTGCGAGGAGCCCTTTGAGACTCTCTCACAAGAACCGAGAGTCTCTATCTTTCTCTCTTTCTCATCATCGTGTCAGCGGGAAGTGCCATCATTTGTGGGATTGTCCTTTCAGTCGTCTTCGCTGTTCATACCTAAAGACTCTGTTAGGATTAGGATTAGGAGGGTGTCCGCCGTCCGCAGTTTTACTTCTGCCTTCTCAAGCTGTTATGTTGAGAAAAGAAATGAATCATGGCGGGGCTTCTAACCCTGAATGGTTATAAGCTACCTTAAAGATTTTTTGTACAGTGGCATTTCAATATGTGCACGAAAGGGTTGTATACAATTTCGCATGCGAAACATGAATTTTGTACTTCCTCGTACCTATGCGTTGGGCTTAGGGGAGTCTGATTTGTGACTCAGTGTCCATATGAAACCTGTACAAGGAAAAGGATCGTATTGTTACGATCATTCGAGGGATACAAGAAGCTTGAAAGCTTCTTCTTCTGTGCACCATGATGTTGATTATGATAGATTACGCTCGCACGCGACCCTACCGCCTCACGCATGACGCGCTCGCGAGCGCCCTTGCCATCTGTCGCGAAGGACGTTGATGTAAGGGCTCAGGGGACCTTCCTGGAGATCCGGCGGTTGTAGTGGGTTTCATGGGAAGAGTGCGTGTTACTACACGCTACTTTTTTTCTACTTTATCTCTATCGCTTCCGCCGCATAACGCCTCCCTTCCCGCTGCGCTCCACGAACGCATATTACGCCCCGCTGGTTGGTTCCATTCCGGACTTACCCGCTCACGACAAGGCGAGAGGCCGGGCAGCATTAGACCGCCCGACAACTCTCGAGCCCCCGCGGGTCCGCCGACCCTCGCACCCCGCCAGCCTCCCGATGTTCCCGTCGGCCCAGCTAGAGATGCGCAAGCGATATCACGCTGCGGCCGCGGGCGCAAGCTACCGAAAGCGCAGATAGCATAAGCACAAGCGAGGGCCTCTCCCTTTTTATCTACGTTGCTTCTCTGCCTAACTATTACAGCTTCCCCGTCCCCTCAAAACCTTTCCAGTCCCCCAAGAGACGCGGCGCTCCCTGCGCGGTTCACCGTCGTGCCACGGCGGTGACGAAGCGCGCGGCAGCGGGCGTTTCACTTTCAGGCGCTACGCTCAGAAAAGGGCTTCCTCAATAATGGTATACTTCGTGGCCTGGCATATATCTCTAAAAATTATGAATTAATATGCTGAGAGCGAGAGGTCTACACTTTCGCGATTACACTACAACTACCCAAAGGAAGTAGATTGACCGTCAGGATTGAGCTAAGTTAAAAAATCGAGGCGAAACGCAACAGCTTGATCTTAATGACCGAACTGGGTCTCGGTGGTTTGCTTCTAAAAAAATTCGTCGCGGTGTCTCTTCGGCCATCGTAATTGAGTTAAGTTAAAAAATCTACGCGAAACGCAGCAGCTTGATCTTGATGACCGAACTGGGTCTCGGTGGTTTGCTTCTAAAAAAATTCATCACGGTGTCCCTTCGACTATCGTAGTTGAGTTATAAGTTAAAAAGTCTAAGCCTAAGCGAAACACAGCAGCTTGATCTTGATGATCCAACTGGGTCTCGGTGGTTTGTTTCTAAGAAAATTCGCCAAGGCGAAACGCAGCAGCTTGATCTTGATGACCGAACTGGGCCTCGGTGGTTTGCTTCTAAAAAAATTCATCACGGTGTCCCTTCGACTATCGGAGTTGAGTTATAAGTTAAAAAATCTAAGCGAAACGCAACAGCTTGATCTTGATGATCCAACTGGGCCTCGGTGGTTTGTTTCTAAGAAAATTCGCCAAGGCGAAACGAAGCAGCTTGATCTTGATGACCGAACTGGGCCTCGGTGGTTTGTTTCTAAAAGATTTGGCGCGCTGTCTCAGAAGTGGCAGGATGCAAGAATATCGGCGAGCGTAATAGTGAGGCACTATCCGTACTGTTATACATGATCGCGCTGTCTTTGTCAGCCAGCAGATGCTTGCAGATGAGAGCGCCGCTCTCATGTTTTCATCTGCAGGCCGTGGCCGTGGCGCTTGTCTTAAGTTGTTCGCTGTGCGCGGACTTTTTTGACGATACAAGAGGAAGGCGAAACTGGTAAGAAAGTACTCGAGTAGCTATTCTTCTCGTCAGGTCGTTTTTCGCTATCCATAAAAAAAACGCTGCCCAGTATCAGTCTTCACGTGCTCCTCACTATATTCTGTCGATGACTTTAAAATTAAATGCTATGAAAACGAAACGATTTAACTTACGACCAAAGAAACGTTAAAATCTTCTACTGTTGTACAACTTTAACTCAAAGAGTTTTACTCTATAACTCATCTAGATCTAGTACTACTCAAAATCCGGCTTCTCAGCGCATTTTAGCAGACAACATCAGAAATCTTATAAATATCTACAAATATCCGTACTTGGTGAAGTTTGTTGTTGTGTGCAAGTGTTGTGGTGTGTACAAGTGTTGAGACTTATCATGTCTCACGTTCTGCTGCTCTTTCAAATTTTGTCAATTCGATTCACTATTGTTGTTTTTTTTGATAGATGAAATCGAGAACCGAAACGGAAACATAAACACACATGTGATATTATTTATACTTCTCAGTTCTTCAAGGTCTTTAATTACTGCAACGGACACGGATAATATTGCATGGAACAGAATCTGGATCAATTTTTCTTCTAAATGAATTGTAGTCCTCCGACTCCAATATACTCAACTAATAATCCACCTCCACGTCCGCCATTAGGGATATTTCTCTTTGGAAGATTCCCTGTGGCGTTTTCACGCCACTTCACCTTCTACGAAGACACACTAGAGTCCACCTGCCTGGTGGTCACAGCGCTCACAGTGGATGCCGCTTTCTAGGAAAAGCTCTGCTTCGAACTCGGCTTGCTCGGCACGAATTCGTACTCCCGAAGTGAGGTTTGAGCAAGGATGTGTTCCTTCTGCTCGGATGAGATGAGGTACTGTTCATATCTGACTACAGAGCCACCTTCGTTATTTTTTTCTTGTTGGACTGGAACTTCTTTCTGTAGAATCCATTCCGGATTGACACTGAGCTGGGAGGTGACACTGTCCGGCTGAAGTTGCACTAGCGCTGGCTGTTGTTGCAGTTGCTGATCTTTTGGTCGTTGCTCTTTCATGTTACTATTGGTATTTTCGCCAAGCACGATGTCAGCTGCAGTTGTAAAATCTTGTTTGACGAAGTTCCATGTGAGGTGTTGTTCCTTCTTAAAATCAAATGAAGAAGAAAAATAATACCCCGAAAAATATGCCGTGTCTTCGCGTCCTGCCGCCACGCTGCCTTTCGTCTTCTTCGGCCTTAAGATCAGGCGCGTCTCCTCCAGCGTGTTGGTCATTTTTGGTCCCGAGGATGAAGATGACGAAGTTGAAGATGCAGTTTGAGTCCCTCCAAAGGAGGGAGCTACTACATTCTCCGCGTTCCAATGTCGGGAAAATCCGGGTGGTGGGCTCCGGGTCATTCCATCTCCAACCACTGCGACCTCCCCCGACGCTCCGTCCTGGTGGTGCATCTTCAAGTTCTTCAAGTAGGCGAACTGTTTTAGTGTGAGAATGTGATACATGTATGTAGGATGTTCATTCGGGGGGCCTACTTCATGTTCATGCCAGAGAAGCCATCCAAGCTCGCGGTCTACTTGGTCTCCGCTCGCCAAATCAGGAAGACGCTCTGCAGTGGATATATCCATATCGCGGATGTCGCTCGCCAACAGTTGTTAGATGAACAATGAACAAGGACTGAAATATCCACTGAGTCGGCAATCATTCCAGGGCCTTTCTATTAATCATGCTAGTCGGTGCCTGGTCCTTGTAAGTTAGTACTCGGAAAAAAAATTTAGTGCCATAAAGTGGAGTCATTATCGCTAGCGTTTTTCGATCTGATCTGTAAGCAGGCAGCGCCAGCTCCATGTCCTTGGAAGCTTGCGCCAAGACTTTTGAGAGGTCGGTCTCCCAGCCCTGGTTTCCTTCTTCCTTTAGAGAGTAGTGCTCGCCCTGGCCACCGGGAAGAACTACGACTGAGCCGCCTCTTAGTTCATTTTCGTTAGGGTTAGTAAGCTGCAGTTTTTTCAAGGCAGCGTCGGGGCTTCGCCTACCAGTTCTAATCGATGTTAAGAGTCCAAGACTCCACTGGGAAGCCACGTCCTTGCTTTGTAACATTATGTCTGCAGCATTGTCCTGTACGATTTCGATTTGGATCTCTCCTGAGCGCTGTAGTAGTAGTTCTTTGAAGATGCGGCGCTTCTGTACATTGGAGATGATGTAGTAGTCGTATTGCGCTTCTACTGATGCATCTTCGACACCAGTCGAGCTCGAGGACGTCCAGAGAATCCATTCCGCTTGGACTTCGCGGCTAGAACGCTCAAGCAGATCATGATCATTGTCCAACTCCATCTGCACCATGCCCATAAGGCCTCCACTTTCTGACTCTAGTCCGCATTGCAACGAAATCTCCATGTGCTTGTCACCCTCGGCGAAGATCCATGTCGATGTCCCCTCTTTATCTTTTGAAGGTTGAGCAGAGTAGAAGGACGACGAGGCCTCTTCTTGTCTTTTTGGTAGCACTACTTCTTTTTTCTCGCTCGGGCTCGGCTTGCCCTTCGTGCAGCGCAATACCACGCGCGTATTCTCCTTGGTCCGAGGCGTTCGAGGCCGTGGCGGTGATAATGATGCTGCTGGTGGTGATGATGATGATGATGATGATGATGATGATGATGATGATGATGCACCACCGTGGAGATTTGGCACTACCACATCTTCGGCGTCCCAATGCCGGGAAAATCCGGGTGGTGGCCTCCGGGTCATTCCATCTCCAACCACTGCGACCTTCCCCGACGCTCCGTCCACCTGGTGGCGCCTCTCTAAGGATGCGAACTGTTTTAGTGTGAGAATATGATACATGTATGTAGGATGTTCATTCGGGGGGCCTACTTCATGTTCATGCCAGAGAAGCCATCCAAGCTCGCGGTCTACTTGGTCTCCGCTCGCTATATCAGGAAGACGCTCTGCAGTGGATCTATCCATATCGGCGATGTCGCTCGCCAACAGTTGTTAGATGAACAATGAACAAGGACTGAAATATCCACTGAGTCGGCAATCATTCCAGAGCCTTTCTATTAATCATGCTAGCCGGTGCCTGGTCCTTGTAAGTTAGTCTTACTACTCGGAAAAAAAATTTAGTGGCATAAAGTGGAGTCATTATCGCTAGCGTTTTTCGATCTGATTTGTAAGCAGGCAGCGCCAGCTTCTTGTCCTTGGAAGCTTGCGCCAAGACTTTTGAGAGGTCGGTCTCCCAGCCCTGGTTGCCTGCTTCCTTTAGAGAGTAGTCTTCGCCCTGGCCACCGGGAAGAACTACGACTGGGTCGCCACTTAGTTCATCTTCGTTAGGGTTAGTAAGCTGCAGCTTTTTCAAGGCAGCTTTGGGGCTTCGCCTACCAGTTCTAATCGATGTTAAGAGTTCAAGACTCCACCTGGAAGTCACGTCGTTGCTTTGTAACATTATGTCTGCAGCATTGTCCTGCACGATTTCGATTTGGATCGTTCCTGAGCGCTGTCGTAGTAGTATTTCGAAGATGAGGCGCTTCTGTACATTGGAGATGATGTAGTATTTGTATTGCGCTTCTACTGATTCATCTTCGACACCAGTCGAGCTCGAGGACGTCCAGAGAATCCATTCCGCTTGGACTTCGTGGCCAGACTTCTTAAGCAGCGCATGATCGGCGTCCGACTTCATCTGCACCATTCCCATAAGGCCTCCACTTTCTGACTCTTGTCCGCATTGCAACAAAATCTCCACGGAAGGCTCGGCGAAGGTCCATGTCGATGTCCTCTCTTTTGAAGGTGGATCAGAGTAGAAGAACGGCGAGGACTTTTCTTGTTTTAGTAGCACTACTTGTTTTCTATTTTCGTTCGTGCAGCGCAATACCACGCGCGTATTCTCATTGGTCCGAGGCGTTCGAGGCCGTGACGGTGATGATGAAGATGCTGCTGCTGCTGCTGCTGGTGATGATGATGATGATGATGCACCACCGTGGAGATTCGGCACTGCTACATCTTCCGCGTCCCAACGCCGTGAAAATCCTTGTTGCAGAAGACTGCCAGGAGTCTCGTGGCCTTCGTTGTCGTTCATCACCTCGTACTCCTTTTCGAGCTTCTTCCACTGCTCGTAGGCGAGGACGTAGTAGTTGTAGTCAGGGCGTCGTGCTCCATCCTCGGTATCGGTCACACTATTTACATCTACTCTATGCCAGAAAAGGCTCCAGGAGGGGTCGTGGGTCTGCGTTCCAGAGACTGTGCCGACCGGATTGAAATGATCTCGAACTTAGGGAACGACAAGTGAGAAATTTATCCACAGAAGAAAGGGTCCCGGGCACTTTTATTTTTTGATGTTAAGCGCGGGCGCCGGGACCCAATGCGGATACATTTCTATCTTATATTGCTGACATAAATGCTGATGCTCATGATTCTTCCTAGTGTTCTTCGGTCGGATTCATAGGGAGTGACTTTCAGCGGTTGACGGTGAGATCCTTGTCTATTGATGAATCTCATCGCATTACTGTCCCCTGCGCCGGAGAAGTAGTACCCAAAGGAAAGCTCTAGGTCGACCTTAATACCTGGTTGGTTGACGTTCTTGGTTTTCAAAAATCTTATTGTAGATACTGCCTTGCCGTCAACAGGAGAAGTTGAAGTGGCCACACCAAGTCTGATTTGATGTAACTGCTCGCGGGTGAAGTTGATCGTGTCAGGATAACCCGCTTCCTCTTTTAGTGCGACAAACCTCTCGTCGATCCTCATTTTCTGATGTGATGAGATAATGTAGACAGTGGGAGGGCTCCAGAGAATCCATTCGCGTGATGTTTCGGAAAATCGGGCAAGCGTATGATGAGCGTCGAGCCCTACCGGCATCATGGTCATTCCCGCACCTTCGCATTGCAACGGAATCCGCTTAGGATCCTCCTTGGCTAAGCTCCATGTTGTCAGTTCGGTTGATGCTGAGCTCGGCAGTGAAGCAGAGTAGAAGTTTTCCTCTACTTCTAGTAAGACTGTGACTACTTCATCTGATCTTATTCTCCTCTTCATGTCATCCGTGCAAGTCAGAGGCACAAGCTCACTGGCAGCACCGATCAAAGGCATTCGAGATGGAGGGGGAGCCGGATGCTGTGATGATTCAGCACCAAGGTTGGGGAGGTGCGGCACATGTGCATCTTCCATGTTCCAATGCCGTGAAAATCCTTCTGGCAGAAGACCACGCTGGGTCACTTCATGTTGACCTAGTTGTAGGCGCTGCTCTTGTCGCGAGATCTGGTTCTTGATCAAATTCTTCATGACGGACTCTTTCTGTTGTAGTGTGAGATACCAGTACGTGTATGCAGGGCGTATCTTTGCAGCAGATCCCCACTGATCCGTAGCCTCACTTGATTTATGCCAAAGAAGCCAGCCAAGCTCACGATCGCCGCCCCCATTTCCAGGATGAGCTGCCGCAGGCGCAGTGGATATATGGCGGATGTCGCTCTCCAGCAGTTGTTAGATGAACATTGAACAAGGACTGAAATATCCACTGAGTCGGCGATTCCGATTCCAGCGCCTTTCTATTAATTATGCTAGTCGGTGCCTGGTTCTTGTAGCTGTAAGTACGCGGGAAAAAATTTTCTTCCTTACTGCCTTAAAGTGGTGTCGTTATTGCTAGCGTTCTTTCATCTGACCCGTAAACAGGCAGCAACACCTTCCGGGGTGCACCCGTGAAGGTAGACTGCAGTCCCTGAGGCCGATCTCCTGTGTCCGATAGAGAGTAGACATTCTCGCCAGAGATTGCCAGAACCTCTATATACGAAAATCCTTTGCTTTTCATGACTTTTGGGCACCTAGTCTATTGCAGCGGAAGTTCTCCAGTGCACCCTACTGAGCAATAACCACCATTGCCAGAGCTGTAATCCCACGCCAAAAATAGCCCCAAAACGCAACGACTCAGCGCGCAGTACCTACCTCGCTAGCTACCCAGCCGTGGTGGGCGTAATTATAGCCCGCCCACCTGTTCCCACCCAGCCGAAAAAGAGGGGGACTCGCTGTACCCCGCGAGCCACTCATCCCAGCAGAGGCGCTCCAGAGCACCAGCACAACCACTATCACACAAGAACAGCCGACGACAGCCTGACATCTTCGAGGGCGCTTCTGCGTGGGCGCGGCGGGCGCCCTGAATCCCACGGACGACACCCACGCAAGAAAAAGAACGACAACAGCGCCACGAGTGTGCGCAGATTATAGACACACCCCCCACCCAGTCCCAGGCAGCGCACAGCCATCATAATGGAAGCCCCGCCCTGCTCTGGCAGGTTCTGGAGCCAGCGTCTCCACCCGCGCAAGTCTCAGACGCTTGGCAGCCCCAAGAACCGAAAGAAGGCTGAGGTTCGCGGCGAACCTCAGAAATTCCAGGTGTCCTAAGATTCAATTTCTGAGACACGCCAAAATCCTGAGGTTCGCGGCGAACCTCAGGGGCTTTTCTGGTCCACCGGCTGACCCAGTAAACCCCACTCGGCCAGTCCGAGGACCAGGAAAGCCCCTAAGGTTCGCTGCGAACCTCAGGACTCTTTCAAGTCTCAGAAAACGGAGGTTTCTGAGGTTCGCGGAGAATATGCGGCCTTTCTCAGTCGGCCGAACTGGAAAACGCCTAACACTCGACGGCGACACCCGCCACTTCATGCCTGAGACAAGCGGGAGGCGCGGTAGCCGGTAGGTGTGACCACCTCACCGACCACGCGTCTCGCCCCGCACATGCTGACCGCCATCAACTAGCAAGGCAAGCCCGCGCGCCCACTCCTCCCTGTCGGATCAACATTGCCAACAGCTCACGCAACGACATGCCACGCAGACGCGCCTCTGGACGCTGAGGCAAGGCTTCCGCGGACTAAAAGCTCGGCGCATGAGCGACACGCGGCCGCAGTGGGTGTGATCGACGCACGGAGAGAACAAGCAAAGCGCTCGGCGCTCGTTTGGGGCAATGAGGTCGCAACGCCGACAAGAGCAGCGCCTTCCCCGCATACCGCCCCCGAGAGAGCCAGCCGCCCCACGTTTAGCGACTGAGCCAAACGCAGCGCGCACCCTCCCGGTTGCGGAAGGCGCTTCGTCCCCTTAAAACCAGCCCAGTGTACCCTACTGGAGATTTCCCGCTGAGCAAACATACTAGGAACAAGAGTCATGTCTATTGTGCGAGCAAGCTGCAGTTTTTCTAAACGAGCACTGGGGTTGAGCCCACCAGTTCTGATCGATATTAACCATTCAAGATTCAGCTTTTCTTGTAACATCTCGTGGTTGATTTCGATTATTGTTGGTGATGTTGATAAAGAAGAAGATGTTGTCTCTAAGAAGCTAGTGGAAAAAGCAGTTCTACTCCTTCTTCTACTCCGACTGTCAGAAGTTGCGCTTCTACTACTGCTTCTGGAACTTGTTCTACTACTTGTAGTAGAGTTGTAAACGCTCATCATGGAGGAGTAGATGTAGTCAGACGTCGATATCCATGGTGCATCTTCATGTTCATAACCAGATGCACGATCGTTGTTAGTCGCCAGGGAGTAGCTGTAGTCTAGACCCCAAACATCGGCAACAAGGCCGATTGTTGACATGAGGAAGATGAGCCGAGCAAACATTCTTTCAAAGTGGAAGTGGTCTTGAAATCGTGTAGCTGGTGCCGGTGGCACCAAAATTAGCAACATCTTTATTGACTTGTAGAAGTACAACTAGTAGTTCTAGTTGTAGTAGGAGTGTCTCATGAAAAATGTTCGGAGAAGGTACTTTGGCTACAGGTCGGGCACCAGGGCTTTCCTCGTCTCGTGTAGTAATTAGAGCTAGAAGTTAGTACTTAGCTATTTTCATCTTTTTTTGTCCTACGCCTAGCCTAGATGCGTTGCTTTCTCCCATCATGGAAGCACTACTTTCTCTTTTTTCGACTCTCGGTTAGCTACCTTTTGCGACAACTAGCTGTTTTTCATTGTTGTATGTCTTGTAGCACTTTGCTCCACTTTTTAAGCTCTTTTCTGACTTTCTCCCTCTCTCTTTCCTACTTTTTTCATTACACAGATCATCTGATGACTTTCTCTCTGTTCTTCAGCTGTGTTTGTACTTATCCCAGGTACGAGGGATCGCACACCATAGGCAAAACAACTTTTTGTCAAAGCCTCTTCTGTGCATCGATAGGCTCCGGTTATACCTCCACTTGTCATTCAATCGTTCTCTATCGCTATTCACCTTCTTCTATTCATCGATCCTTTCTTGAAGATCTTGTTAGTTCGCTTGTGATGTTGTCATTTACATTGATTGTCACTAAATACTAAGCAAATCGATTCTCATGTTGGAATGGGAGAAGATACACAAACCAGGTCAAGGAATGCTCAATGTACTACGCTAAGACCATTGAAACAGCTCCGTAGGCCAGCAGCTAGACTTTACTACAACAACAAACTACTACACTCCTACCACCATGTTGACCTTCTGACGAAGTACATGCATTTATTTGTCGTCGCTAGAAGATTTTACATTATTCAGTCGTCACAGATACTCTTCCGTTTTAACTTACTTCAACAATTTGGCGTAGGTGCATTTATTGGACAGCTAATATCTTCGAAGTCAATTACAATCACGTTTCATCTTGTTTACATATTACTCAATCTCTCAGCATATGCGTTCTTTTCATCTCGATCTACTCAACGTCACTATCACAATCGAAGGTATGGTAATCAAAATATAGTGCTGGATTAAAAATGATTGCAAACATGGGTGAATCAGCGGCAAGAGTGCACTCCATTCCATGAAGTCAGTCATTGGCTAGCATGCCAACCCCTAGACTATACGATGACACTCTGCAGCCTCAAGAGTACATTCCTGTATCAGTATCTGTATGTAGTGAATATTTCTACGGTTTGTAGTAAGTATTTCATTTTCATCAGAAAAAAAATCTATTTGGCTGTGCACACAGTAAAATTCATCCTTTTCCTTTTCCTAAGTATCTGTGCTCTGACTTATGATGAAACAAACACTAAATGATTATCCATCATGGTCGTAGACGAAATGAAGAAAATGTTGATCTACTTACTGAATCTGAATATTCTCGGCGATATAATTTCAAAGATGATGGTGAACTTGAAGATGAAGAAGTACTACCTGGCACTAGCCTCCAAGCTAGAGCTTTTTTCTAGTGCATCAATACGAAAAAGAAAATCAGATTTCTATATAAGCTTTCTGTGCATAATTCTCAAAAAAGGTTTCTATTGGTCTGAATCTAAATGCTTTCCATATCCATTTCGAGCTAATTTTGGTAATATCTCTCTACTCTTAGCGTTCGGACTACTTTCTCGGGTTACAATACGGAGAAGTTGGAGCATGTACTACGATAGTAAAGTTCAAATGAAAATGTACTTACTTGGTGCTGTACTAGTTCGTCTTCGCTGTGATTCATCTTCTTAGCAACGTGACTGTAACTGAGTCTTTTCGTAGCACGACCACTTTCCTAGTTTTCCAGGGGCGGCTCTTCCTCTAGCATTGGCGGTGTATTACTCAACTCGACCATTGCGTCCATGGTAGTTGCGTAAACCAGGAAAGGTCCAGTCTTGTTCGGGTCGTAGGTGCATGGCAGAATAGGGCATTAGAGTCGCCTTTATTTCTTCATCTGTCTACTTGGTCCTAACATCATCTCGATAGAGGTGCCATATTTCGTCACTTGTATAATGATATTTCAGATCATGGAGAGAGGGTATTTCATGGGCGGGTAAGGGTATCGAGATGCTGAGACAATTACAGATTTGAACAAACGCTGGTGACCATAAAGATAGTTTCCCGCTGGCAAGGGCACGTCTAGCGCGATCTCATGCGACGCCGCAAAAGTTGTTTCATAGACAAATGTTAGAGGTTGAGCTTCTGGAGTTGTCTTGGAGGCGTTGATTGACGTGTGACCTTCCCTGCTGACACTAGTACTCGTCCCAGAAGTGTTGACTGACGTGTGACCTTCCCTGCTGACACTCGTACTAGTCCCAGAAGCGTTGATTGACGTGTGACCTTCCCTGCTGACAGTAGTACTAGTCCCAGAAGCGTTGATTGACGTGTGACCTTCCCTGCTGACACTAGTACTAGTCCCAGAAGCGTTGATTGACGTGTGACCTTCCCTGCTGACACTAGTACTAGTCCCAGAAGCGTTGATTGACGTGTGACCTTCCCTGCTGACACTAGTACTAGTCCTGAGGTCCTCTGACAGTAGACACCCTGAGGAGGTCTTCATCTCAGTCTCTTGTTTCCTCTTCTAGTAGTACTAAAACTAACTAAAACCACTTAGGTGGAACAAGTAGTAGAGGATATCCTTCCTCATACTCACGCTGCTGTAGGAAGGAGCAAGCGACATGAACGTTATAGCCTTAACTCTTTCTTGATGGAATTAGAAGGTATTCTTACTCTTAGACGGTTTCTCTTACTCACACTCACTCTTGGTCTTGCCTTAACACTAGATCCCTTGAAATGACGATTTGTTTATGCTGGTCGAACTGCAATCGCATTACGTAGAAGCCAAGCATGCACCCAACTGCATCTTTGGCGATCTTCTGTCTCCACGTTTTCTCGCAGCGTGCGAGAAAAATCGTCACGTTCTTGCTGTCTCAAGTTAGAAGGGAGAAAGGGGCTTGAGGTTTGAGGTGTAATTTCTTTGGATCTCACATCAATCTACTATGTGCGGGAAAAAACTTTTCCTTACACGATTACAGATTAAGTACAACGTAGTTCTTTCGTTGCATGTGGACATGCTTCATCTCAGGAGTAGCAGAATGTGTTGATTTCTGATTCTGGCTCGGAAACAACGGTCTAAATGTCTAGACCGATTGTCTTCGTCATCGTCTGCGCTTGTTGAATCCCTAAATTCAAAAGCCTCATGTAGACCGCAGGATTTTTTCCCCAGCTACTGGTCTTCGGCGGTTCGTATGGTGGGTAGTACAAGTGGCTGCCGCCTGCACTATCAGCGGTCCATTCTGAAGTAATCAGAGGATGCTGTTGGTCGGCTAGGCGGCACTGCTTGTAGATCTCCCTATCGGAGTAAACGGTCACTGTAGCGTTACCAACCAGGCCTTCCTCGCTCAAGCTAGGCACGATGCAGAGTGGTCCGGCAACTGGCGCCGATTGAGCGATGGGGAGTTAGAAGAGAAAAGCTTCTTGGTAATTTTTGACAAGGTGATCGTGATGGAATTGGAAATGGTAAGGCGAAAGGAGCTATTAATATCTTTCTAAAAAAGTGCATGTGTAGACATTGTGACGTTGTTGAAAATGAGAAGACACAAATTTGCGAAATTGACAAGAGTCTTCAACATACGTAGTTGCACTTGATGTCGATCGATTTCATGATCATCATCTCCATGTTAATCCGATTACGAGGTCGATGGGGAATGCCTACAACTAGAGCGAAGGGAGGTAATCATATTAGTAGACCAATGCTTATTGTCGCTTCTTCTATTCTTGAAGAGTATAAGCGCAAGCGAAAATAGGTGACAATAAGTGAAACTCGACCATAAGCACAAGTTTTGTCTTCTGAGAACGGCGCTTCTTTCATCCAGTCATTGGGCATGATTTGCAGTTTCCTCTTCAAGAACGTCTCGTCCAACTCGTTCATGCCTTTCGCATTCTGGGATTCGTCAGGTAGCAACCCTTTGATTAGAGGCTGGAAAGCATCTTGCCGGTAGAGCCTTTGGCTTCTCTTTGGAGAGGAAAACACATTGTCCTTCAGGAATATGGATATGCTTCTGAAGATGAACTTGCTCTCCTTCGGGATCTATTCCTACCGATGATAGATCTAGAAGTACAATTTCAAATCACGGGAAGCTTTGTTTTGCCTTAACTTCTTCACTCTTCCAAGACTTTTGTCTGGTTGCGATGCCGGGACTAGCCGACACAGGGTCGCTCCAATTTCACCCACTGGTTTTTTTCTCCCTACTATTCGCTCAACCACTACTTTCACTGTTGTTTGCTTGTTGAAGGCGAGCACTAGTTGCGGGTTTCGACCCCAGCCTGGGTTGTCAGTGATAGCACCTGTTTCGGCGTCCTTCTTCTGTCTTCTGCCTCCGCTATTGCTATCCTTGAATTCGACTGAGAAAACTGTCCTATACAGCTTCGGGACCAAGTCGATGCCAATTTCATTATCCGCGAAAAAACGGAGGCAAAACTGCTTACCGGCTTCAGGCTTGGCAGTGGCTTGGAATGGAATCTGGAGATAAAGTGGGAGATAAAGTTGAATTTTTCTATTGCTCCTTCTCTTCATCGTCATGTGTCGTGTTAGATTAACAATACCACTCACAAGCCTCGAAAAACTACGAAACCAACAAAAAATCAAAAGAAGCAGAGACAATCTATCAACATCACATGTATGTTTCTTCCACATTTCGACTTGATTAACCATGTAAATATCAATATACCAAGATAAACTGTGAGCAGCCTAATGCCGCTGGGTCGATGGTCGCTTCGAAATTAACTTCGGAATGCAGTGTCTTCCCCACAGCAGCTATCTCTCCATCTGGAAATTCCCACAAAACCGGCATCCCCTTCGCTTTGTACATTATCTGGGAAAGAGGAAGACGAATGTTAGGAAGTTTACTATAAATAAGGTAAAGGTGATGAACGCTGGATCCTAGCTGGACGCCTACATACGCCCAGCATGCTCATCAATTATACATCAATCATCGTGATTGATGTCTTCGCCCCCATAGAAATTGAAATTAATACATCTTCGAAGAGTGTCTGGACTATAACATGTAGTAACTAAGGGTGTCCCGCCTGTCTCAGAGCAACTTCAATACCATCTGTATCTGGTTTTGAGGTGAACTTGCATGCTGCGTCAACGACACGAACAGCGTCGTCGGCTTTGTTATCGTTATCTTGTACTGCGGATTTGACACGAAGTCTGGGTCGGTCGGAGCTTGACCCTTGGAGTCGTCCCATGATGCGCATAGGGCGTATTGATCTGTAGTTGTGAGAACATGATCGAGGAAGATGAAGGTCGATAGGAATAGAGATTAATATGTCCTCGTGGTTGTGCTAGAAGAAGAAGTGGTAGCTTGATCATGAAATGGGATGAATATCTGCCTCCCGCCAAAACGAAAACTGAAGAATCGACTACTACAAACACAAATTATAATGATCTCATCCACGTCTACGTCAAAAACAGTACGATAATCCGCTTTGAATAACCGGCACAGAGTCTGGAAGTCTCCGAAGGCTTTCTCAAACTCTTTCCATGGCATCCAAAAAGTGCCATCTCCCATATCCTGGTGCGCACCAATCCTGTCACGCACATCTGTTTTCTTTCCCCAAGCAATCGTACCATTCCAGTTGTACTCTGCGCCATAAGGGTTTCTCAACCTGACTAGCTGAAAACTATGGGATTCGACCATATCGACGATGGGAGTTAGACAAGGAAGATGAGGGGGAGATGGTGAAGATGGAAGTCTACATATTGTAAACGTAGAGCAGTAGTTGACGACCACGACCAGAATCGGTATCTTCAAAAAAATTGTGAGGAGAAAGATCAAGAAAATCAGCATCTACCTCTACGTCTCCGTCTACTTCGACGAAATATTGAAATTTACGTCCTCCCCTGCAATCCATATTTATTACAAGTTGTACTTCTACAACAAGAACTAGTAATAAATAACAACATCATCATCTTCATCAACTTCAACAGTCAACACGAACCTTCATAAGAGATATGGTGATTCGGGCAAGAGACCCAGCTTTTCGCTTTTCGCTGTGCTCAGGACTGTCACCAAACTACCAGACAAAAACTTTTGCTGCAAAGACGCCCATTCTGGTTTCTCCCTTCTATTTTCTAGACAGCCACCTGAGAGCATCAACAACGCTGTCTCAAAGGCTTGCATACCTCCATTGTCGAAGAACATCTGGGAACTCTCATAGCACCCATACTCCTTCGCAAACAGTTTCTCGAGAAAGGCACCCCACAACTCAGTGTTGCTATCTAACACCTCACCGGGGAAATTGCAGTCAAGGGTTACGTTCTGCCACTCGAAATTCCTGTAAACCTGCAAAACCACAAGACCACTACTCTGCCATTGCACTGTGTAGTGGTGAGTTTTTGTATTTTTTCGTAATAATCTTATCTAGCTGCAATGAGAAGAATGAGAAATTTTGATTTCTTGATGTTGATGAAGCACCCGAGAAAGCCCATTGAGATCATTCATTATTAACCAACTGCAAAAAGCATCACTATCTACTTAAATGCATACGATTGAATTCGCTTCCAAATATCCTTTGCAAAAGCTCAGGTCTTGTTGCGGCGAATGATATTGCAGCCATGAGGTATTTGCTAGATAAGACGTGACTTTTAAGGTCCGCAACTGGCTTGCCCTCCGGAAACATCTTCTTCGTGGGTTCTGGTTGAACCCAACTTGATTCCGATCCGCCTTTTTGGATAAACGAGTTCTCGCAGAACCACCTGTTGGATGGATGGATGGATCGAGGTCGAGCTTCAGCGTAAAAAAAGTTGGACGTTATTGGAATTCGCTCCTAAAGAAAAATAGAGCACGTTGCTGTGCTTTAGTTCTGAAGTAGTTGTAGTAGGCTACTATTGCGGTAGTATGTGCTGCTGCAGCGCGAGTAGTCGTGCGTAGTGCTAGTGGTATTCGTTGTAGTACTGCTTTACCTTTAGTTTTCAATACTACTGGTTCTTCTGGTACCATTCGTACAGTAGGTTGTAGTTGTATGACGTAAACTACCTCGTTTTTTCAGAAGATGATGACACTTGATACGACGTTTCCATCTGCTGCATCTTCACGTTGTTGTCTCACCAGCAACAGCACGAAGAAGTAGTTAAGGGGGAACACATTTTCTAACGACGTAGAAATGACGAGGAAGTAGTTAATGTCAACGATATTGTTCTTTTGGATTTGGCGTTCCGGTGCTTTGGCGGCTCAAGCTTTTGTACACGAAAAGAATCTCCTCAACTATAAGGGAGAGCCACGACGTAGCAAGATAATGGGGAAAGCAAGATAATGGGGCGTGGAAAATTATTAGAGAACGCGCTGATCGTAATCCGAATGGAAGACCATTTGGTCATCGATTTCGAAATCGTTCTTCAAGAACTGGCTCGGCTTCACCGTTTCTGCAGTTACAGCTTCACAAGATCATGAAGATCTAGTCATGCTCGCGCTGCCAAGGTTCACGCCTGCTGCCACTGCCTTTTCACTGCTCTTCTTTCCTCTACGACCACGACGAAAGAGTAGTTACCAAAATAACTTCTGCAAGAACAACCACTCTCCTACTACAAATTCTACTAAGAACAATACTCTTCTGCAAGAACAAGAACCACTCTCCTACTATAAATTCTACTAAGCCCACAGACCTAGACGACGATTCCAGACACGGAAGTATATCGAACTAGAACTTTCTTCAGCACGTTTAGGTTTAGAACTTTCACGTTTAGGTTTATACACTGAGCTTTCGCGTTTTGGTAATCGAGGGTCTTCAAATCGAGGTCCACTTGAACTACTTTTCTCCAATATACGTTGAAGTTCCGGCGTTGGCGGTTCTGGAATGTTGTCACCTGAGGGAGGGTTTTATATTCAGTGGAAGATCGAAGATGAAGGTATGGGCAAGCTGCAATAGGAGGTGTGAACAGAAACAATAAGAGTTTTTCAACGATAAACATGGTTAACATGATGCTGCACCAGCACCAGGGTAAACCTCCTAAAAATTCTGGTTCTGGTACAGTAAATGAGTTACAAAGACAAACGTGTTCTTGCGATAATTTCAACGAACTACAACCACGTATCAAAATTATCCATGATGAAGATGGATCTAGTTCTAGAAAGACCCTTGCGTTCACGTTCTCCGTCTACAAAATAAGCCTCCAAACTCTTTTTACCTGGTCTCTCATACGGAGCTGCGTTTCCTGCTCTCGCTTGCTTTCTCTTTTCAACTTCTTGCTTGGCTTGCTTCTGTCTCTGTTTCGCCTGCATTTTCGTTGCTGCAGCGTTGCCTTTGTCGCCTAGAGAGGAGGCCCAAGCCGCCAAGGCTTCTGGGGAGTCATCACTGGGGATATCCTCCTCTGCTGCGGCAGCTTTTGACTCCTCCACAGCAGCCGCTGCAAGCTGTTCTCGTAGTTCCGCGACTTCCCTTTTCGCCGGCTATTAGAAAATTCAGACAACAAGGTCGTGTTGATCAATTTCGAAAATACCATGCGCAAGTCGTGCATGCGCTGTAAGTAAAAAGAACTATATTATAGTAGATCTTCATACAGTTACAGAAAATGAAAAAAATCCGATTCATAAATTTTTGCTCTCTGCACTGCTTGCATTCTAGCTGCTGCTTTGTCAGCGTCGTCGCCTAGTCCTGCTGTCCAAGCTGCTAGTGCTTCTGGTGATTCTTCTGGATCGACCGCGTCTGCCGCAGCCTTTTCCTTTTCCATAAGTTGCGCCCTCAGCGTATCTACTTCTTTCTTCGCCTGCTTTGCGCGTTGTCGCGTCTGCAAGGCGAGGGCAGCAGCGTTGCCATCGGCGCCGAGACCTGCAGCCCATTCGGCAAGAGCTTCTGGGGAATCAGGGTCGACTGCACCTGCTGCGGTATCGCCTGATGCGATGGCATCTGCGCGCGCTTTCTTAAGCGCTTCCACCTCTTTGCGAGCCTGTGTAGTTCATTGAAGAGAGTAGAAGGTCTAGGTCGTTGAAGAGCAAGAAAAAGAATATCAAGGAGGAGGTGTAGAAGGTCTAGGTCGTTGAAGAGCAAGAACAAGAATATCAACAAGGAGGTAGTACAGGAGACAGAAAAGAGTAAGTAGAAGGTCGTTGAAGAGCAAGAACAAGAATATCAAGGAGGTAGTACAGGAGACCACAGAAAAGAACAAGATGAAAGTGATCAAAATAAAAGAAATCAATGGTCGTGATAATCCGTAATTTAGCGAATCTTACGCTATTCACGGATGAAGTACCGCTGAGCCTCGATGCCTAGCTTGCATCATGCTGGCAGCCTTGTCTCCTTTGTCACCTAAGGAGTCTGCCCAGGCAGCCAACTGTTCAGGAGACTCAGGGTCTACTGCAGCTGCGGATGCGTCGCCACCTGCGATAGCTTCTTCTCGAGCCTTCTTGAGCGCTTCGACTTCTCGTCGTGCCTGAGTGACATCAAACAGGAGGGAGAGTGTGATCATAAGAACGTGTCAGAGATGAGGATAGCTGTCCATCTAAGTAGGCAAACAAGGTGTGGACCTGGATGTGGATTGATTCGTAGCAAATAAAAAGCAGAAGAAGTTGTACTGCCGTCCCTCTATGCCTAGCTTGCATCATACTCGCGGCTTTATCGCCTTTTTCCCCTAAGGATTCAGACCACGCCATCAGCTGTTCTGGTGATTCTGGATCAACTCCTGCTGCATCAGTATCGCCAGCGGCTATTGCCTCTTCTCTAGCTTTCTTCAACGCTTCAACTTCTTTGCGAGCCTGGTGGTTGACATTCATTTGGATAAGGATTTTCTTTTGAAGAGTAAGCTTTCGTCTTCAGATTAGGAGAAGATATTCTGACTTAAATCTGGGTTCTTGATAATATTCTTTCAAGTTCCATTTCGTTTTCGACTAAAATCTTGCTTCTTCTAGTATCACAAAATACAGCACACTCACGACGCACGCATAACTGATAAAGTACCGCTGAGCCTCGATGCCTTGCTTGCATCATGCTCGCAGCCTTATCGCCTTTATCACCTAAGGATTCAGACCAAGCCAGTAGTTGCTCGGGTGATTCCGGGTCAACTCCTGCTGCATCAGTATCCCCAGCTGCAAGAGCTTCCTCTCGCGCTTTTTTGAGTGCTTCTACTTCTCTGCGCGCCTGATTTGGATTTCTAGCACTTGCAAGGACTAGGACTGTAAGTTGTAAAAAATCAAACTACAGGATGCAGAACATCATCCATCCTATAGAAACAGCGAAGTCTGAAGATTTGGACGGCCTTTTTCGCGTCTGCAAGTAGAACCAACAACATCATGCATGTGAATGTTACTGCTCTAACACTAAGAAAGTGCATACTCGTCCTAAGATGTAAGACAGACAGCATACCGCTGATCCCCTATGCCTAGCTTGCATCATACTCGCTGCTTTATCGCCTTTATCACCTAAGGAGTCTGCCCATGCAGCCAACTGTTCAGGTGATTCCGGATCGACTCCTGCTGCATCAGTATCGCCAGCGGCTATTGCCTCTTCTCTAGCTTTCTTTAACGCTTCAACCTCTCTGCGGGCCTGATGTCGTGATTTTGGTAGAAGTTTTTGAATCAAGTGGAAGTAGAAGGAAAAAGGGTCTATTTGTAGTTTCTTCTACCGTAGTGAAAGTGAAACTAACGTGAAGAAAAAGGACGAGTTGGACAACTCTCCACAGCCTTATATGAAGCATGCTTTTGCACTATCGAAAGACACTCGGAAAAAAAAGCAGAAGGAAAAAAAGCTACTGCAGTTCCCCTGTGTCTTGCTTGCATCATACTGGCAGCCTTGTCACCTTTGTCACCTAAGGAGTCTGCCCAGGCAGCCAACTGTTCAGGAGACTCAGGGTCTACTGCAGCTGCGGATGCGTCGCCACCTGCGATAGCTTCTTCTCGAGCCTTCTTGAGCGCTTCGACTTCTCGTCGTGCCTGAGTGACAAGCAGGAGGGAGAGTGTGATCATAAGAATGTGGCAGAGATGGGGATAGCTGTCCATCTAAGTAGGCAAACAAGGTGTGGATTGGTTCGTAGCAAATAAAAAGCAGAAAAAGTTGTACTGCCGTCCCTCTATGCCTAGCTTGCATCATACTCGCTGCTTTATCGCCTTTATCCCCTAGGGATTCAGCCCATGCAGCCAACTGTTCAGGTGATTCCGGATCGACTCCTGCTGCATCAGTATCACCAGCAGCAATAGCAGCCTCCCTTGCAGCTTTCAATGCCTCGACTTCTTTTCGAGCCTTATTTTTATTAAGAGGAATGTTGTGAATAGCCTACACGTACACCAACTGATGATAATCCATCGAGTAAGCAGTTGTAGAAGTTGTCATGCTGTGCATTAACTTGCGATAAAACATCATTATCATTTGTTGATCAAGAGCAGGACTATCGGGTAGCTAAAGCTATACATAAACTAGATACGAACTCTGTATCTGTAACTAATACTAAGCCCGCTCATAGTATAGTTAGACTTTTTTCGCCCGATATCGGGCCGAGTTGCTCGAGTTGCTCGAGTTGAACGAGTTCCATACCAAAAACCATAGATACATAGATACTCAATAATAGATACTCAATAATAGATTAAGATTATAGACTACTCTATTATAGATACATAGATACTTAATAATTAGTACCGCAGACCCTCTATGTCTTGCTTGCATCAAGCTCGCAGCTTTGTCGCCTTTATCGCCTAGACCAGCTGCCCATTCGGCTAACGCGGCTGGGTCATCGTCATCTAAAGCTTCCTGCTTTGCCTCTGCCGCATCTTCCACCGCCTGAGCCGCAGATAATTTTTGGCGGAGTTCGTCTACTTCTTTCTTGGCCTTTTTAGCTCGCGCTCTCGCCTGCATTTTCACTGCGGCAGCGTCGGCTTCTGCACCAAGGTCGGCTGTCCCGAGATTAGAAGAGGAAGAAGATTGAGATTCTTTAATATAAGAGATGAAACAAGGCACTAAAGATTTGAAGTAGAAGTACTACTAACTTACACCTACTGCTATAATTTCATTGAAGTACTAGAAGTACTACTTACACCTACTGCTATAATTTCATTGAGTACTATACTATTACTACTTTTGCTTTTCTTCAACACACATCTACATCTACTTAGATAAATTTGTTCATAAACTTCGCTAGATTTTCTGGTGATTCAGCATCGTCTTCTGCAGTCGCGTGTTGCTGTTCTGCTTCGGCTAACTGTTTCCTCAAAGCGGTCACTTCTTTCCTCGCCTGCTTACTTCGCTGTACGGCCTGCATTTTGGCAGCGGCAGCGTCAGCATCAGCTCCAAGAGACGCTGTCCATTTTGCTAACTCTTCAGGACTGTCCGGGTCTATCTCCGCCATGAGATTTTCGGCAGCCGCAACTTCGGCATTCTCAGCACTAGCGAGTTTATTCTTCATCTCCTCTACGTCTTTGCGAGCCTCGAGAGTGGAAGTGATTCGTGGAGGTAGTTGACGATTCATTCATTAAATGTCATTTGCACGATAGTACAAGAACTTCTAGAATTTATTAGCTGTATTACAACTATACGAAAAACATCCGGAGTAAGTACTTGCTTCGCTCTTGCTCTCGCTTGGAGTGATGTAGCAGCCTTGTCAGCTTTATCGCCTAGCCCATCCGTCCAGGCTTGCAGTGCTTCTGGCGACTCATCGTCACCAGCTGCAGCCTCGTCTTTATGGGCTTGGAGCTCAGTCTGTAGTGTTTTTGATGTTGATGATGAGGGTGATAATGGTACTAAAGTAGAATTGCAGGAAACTCACTTTCTTATAATTATGAAGCGAAAAAGTGCGCTCACACTCAAGAAATTGGCTAGGATTTAAGTAGGAAAGTAGCCACTTTTTCTGTTGTGCTTTTACACTACAGTGGAGGAAGTTACTTCTCCTGAGCTCAACAGCAGTAACATCTTTTTACCAACTTCTGCTAAGAAAAAACAAGGAGCTCACCTCAGCAATCTGTTGCCTCAGTTCAGCGACTTCTTTACGAGCTTGCTTTGCCCTCTGCACTGCCTGCATCTTTGCGGCTGCCTTGTCGCCATCTGCGCCTAGGCCAGCGGACCAGGCAGCCAGCTCCTCCGGCGACTCCCCGTCCCCCGACATTGTTTCTTCAACTAGACCTGCCGCTAGCTACCTACGAATGTACAATGACAGAGAGATAGGTGTAATATCACGGACTGGGGAGAACAAGGGCCATTATGGGCTAGTTCTATGGTGCGTCGTGGAATATTTGTTGATGAGAATGAACTCAATGTAGTCGAAAGAAGTGGATACGAAGTAGAGAAGGCGGAGTTGCCAGTACAATACTGAAGGATGGCGTCGGGGCAAGAAGGAAACCTTCGATGAAGATGATGCCTAGTAGCTATTGATTGATTGTAGGCGTGGTTTTCACAGCGAACTTACGGTTAGGATATGATGGAACAAAACAAGTGCGGATCGAGTAAGAGGATTTGGATTTCGTATGCGGGCGGGTTGAGAAGGGTCGAGGTTGTGCGTGCGCAAATCCTGAGTCATGATTATGATATCAATCGATTGATGTGGGAGGGAGAGAATATCAATCTTCGATGGGGTCCCCCACTGACGCTGAGTTATCTCGCACTCGGTCTCTCGCATGACGCTGTGCCTCGACCTCCATCTCTCAAACCGAAACGGTCCACAATGATGTACACGCTTGCAACTTGATTTCGATATCTCTCATATGAAGCGTGAGTAAAAAAATCCTTGCCGTTACGTCTCAAGTGTTCTCTCTCCGCGCCCGCGGTCTCCTCTGATAACAGAATTAACTTCTCCATCTCCTGTACGAGAAGAACAATAATGCGACCACACAACTCATCGATCTTCAGAAGTAACACCACTATTATTACGGACAATTCTCAATCATGATATAACCACTTGAAAACTTTCTCTTCGTATTCTTAGGGACCGACGTGGAACACTACATCTTCTCACCAAACTAGTGACTACGGAGAGCCACGGCAATCTTCATCAATTGTTTTTTGAAGCATGGGCCATCGGCCATGCCTCTGTGCTGCGATATATCCTTGCTTTCCTGATCCGGCTTGAAATCAAACACAGCCATCTTATGTTCATCAGGGGTTAAGAAGTTAGCAGGAAAATCATAATGTTGAGCGACACACGATGCTGGTGAGCACTCCATCGGCGAGATGCCGACAATTCTCTCCAACTTTGCTATCTACGCCTTTCGTATGATCCAAGCTAGATATGAGTTGTGTCAAATATGTAAATCGTGAAATTCTTTCCTGTTCTTCAACTAGCACGACCTCTACTTCTATCTACCTGGTGCCATGGAAGGCAAACTGTTGCAACAACATATTTATCATGAAGCGGCTTATGCTTAATCCGTTGCACTATCGTGTATCAAGTGTGTTAGTTTGAGGAGAGTCTATCTGTATTTCGGTCTCCTAGGACTCTGAGCGCATTTCCGATTGTAAGACTAGTAAGAACTACTCAGCTAAAAGAACTCCTGGATATCAACATCGTTTGTGTTCATTTTCAATGTCTATCGTACTATTCTGCATTTCTTAATCTTGTTAGTGACATAATTCTAATTGACTCTGTTCATTTTTCTTTTCAGATTTCAAATACTATGTTGTCCAGACCAGGTTTTGGCGGTATGTATCATGTTGATTTTTACGCCACTCAACAAGAATACCAGAAACATTAGACTAGAGTTTACTTAACAACATGGTAAAAAAAATCTTTGATCAGTACTTCCTTTTCCTACAACACTCAAGTTTAAGACCCACCCACCTTCCGACTCGCTGCGGCTAAGGCTACCTTCGCGAGGACTTCCTCTTCCCGTTTTTTCGCTTCCTGCAAACTCCGACTCATCCGCAGTCGGAGAGCTTCTTCCCCACCAGCCTGTTCACAGTTCGCGACGTGCCTGTGTTTCGCTATTTCCGTCATGCGCTCATGTTCTTCCGGAAAACGCTTTAAAAGCGCTTCGATGTCTCGCCAATGGACGACCGAACATTCGCAATGATTCGCGGCTCTAACGGTGCTCGAGCGACGTTGGGCGGCGGGGAGTTAGAGGGATCCACGAATATGGGACGTTATCATGCTAGTATTTCTCAATATAATAAATATCAATCTTCAATCTAGATCTACTCAAAATGATTCAAAAATCAAAAACAGTCGAATTCCGAATTTCCACTGTCCATAATAAACATCCGGATACACGAAGGACAATAGCGCAGACATCTCCCCAATCACAGCTCCCGTAGAAACAGATGCAATTTTCTGTTCCCCTAATTGGTGTCCACTGCCCTTGGCCAGAATCTCCAACTCACCAGAGCGAACGAAGTAGACGGAACCTGATTTGCATTTTGGATGTTAACGTCAAGAAGCATGTCTGATGTCTGTGTTATACAAGAAACACATTCATTGGTTCTGGTTACCACAACCTAGTTTGTTTAGGTGGAAGAATGATTCGTATTGTTCTTGGTGGAAAGTCTTAGTAAAAAGAACAAGAAGAACGCGTAATGTTCATAACGCGTAAGGCTAAGCAGGCGAATCTAAATCTATCCAACATCAAAATAGTGGTTCGCCATCTGATGTCTCATCTAAGAGTACGATCAGCTTCCACTCTATCGTTCTCGCGAAACAAGACGTCATGTGGATGAAACATGACTGGCGAGGAGTCGAATTTCTGTGCTAAGGCTTTGATAAAGTCCAAACTAGCGTCTGGGAAATGTGTTTCGAGAAAGGTAATTGTTTCGTTCTGCGACAATCGCTTTGTTGCCATTTCCGCTAATGTTCTGATGCCGCCAGGATTTTGGGATAGAGGACAGGAAGAAGAACCTGAGCCTGAACCATCAGTGGAACCAGATGAAGAAGAGGTGGATGATCGTCCATCTTTCTTTCCTGCTTTGTCGTGTTCTTAGAACTAGTACCGCGTCGTGTCCTTGAGAGCACCATCCTCCTGGCGCGCACTTCTTTTTCCCCTTGAAAAAGAGGCCAAGGACGATGCGGGGGATCGATCATGCTCTCTTGGCTGCCGTAAGGTTCGGAGTCACTCAGAATATCGCTAGCCTCCACACGCAGTAGCTGAGCCCCTTTCTTCCCCGCATCTACAGTCGCCGTTCTCCTTTTGCGATCCAACAACAGAGACATCTCCCCAACTAATGCGCCGTCTCTTAACGCTAGACACTCACTATCACCATCTCTGGAGGTTGAGGGGGTTACTTTGTTGCATCTGTTTCTGTCTCCACCATTAAATCATTCAAAGGGAACGCGACTCAGGATACGCCAGTCTGAGTTCTTGCTTTCTTTCCTCTTCAAGAAATCGCTTTCTTTCCCCTTGAAGAAATCAAAGGGAACGTCACTCACACTCAGGATACGCCACGCCAGGACCCGATAGTGATAGTGAGTGTCTAGCCTTAATTCTCGCAATTCAGCAACTAGAACGCCAGCTTTGTGCACTGCCAAAGTGCCCTTCTGGACTACGAAAATACTCGGATCCTCGATTTTTTCTCCCTCAGTAAAAAGCCTCGCACCAGGTTGCAATATTTGGTAACGCCGTTGTCGCCGAGCGGCCTCGAGAGACGTCGAAAGGATGCGATCTGGGAGAAGGCGTAGTTGATGAGAGTGATTTACGTTGGTTTCAACATGGAAAGGTGCTTTTCCTGTTTCCTCATAATTTTGACTTGTTTGTCTTTGTGTGAATGTGAAACAGTTTCTGATGAATAAGAGGTGAGAACTACTAGAAGCACTACCTGACTGCATCGCCACTCTCGTTTCTAGATCTGCATCTTTTTGACTCGGAAATCGATTCATCATGATTTCGCGCTCCTTCAAGACTGCTGCACGTACTTTCTCGATACCCCATCGCTTGTTCACGTCGATTTCCAACATCCCTCTCAAAACCTGAAGCAATTCAGGACTTACTTTGTCCGCAATTCTCCTGTATTGAGGCCTGCTCTTGGATTCATCAAATATACCACGCAAGGCTTGCTTTTCCGGTACTTCGTAAGGAAATGAGGCGGCGAGGAGGACGAAAAGAGAGATTAGAAATGGCTCTACAGGTTCGCCGTGGGGATTACGTCGCACTCGCATCTTAAAAAAAGTATAGTTAAGAATAAGAGATTCATCTGGAGATTGATAAGGATGAACGATGCCTAGCGAAACCCAATTTTTTGTAGCTGGTCAAGATCAAGTTCTAGTTCGAGTCGTTGGTCATGGTCAAGAAGACCACCTTCTAGTAGTTCTAGTGATGAGGTTCTAGCGAAAAACTGAAATAACCGAGTTACTGTCTGAAATAAAAAGGGGCGTAGCTTAACATCAAGGCTACTCTTTCTTCTCATCAGTATCTCCGCTATTCTCGTCTGTAGTTACTGCTCGCTTATTTAAGTATTCGAAAAACTGAAATAAGCAAGTAACTGATCAGAACAACCGAGATACTGACGAGAAGAAAGAGTAGCCTTGTCAAAGCTAGCTACCTCCCTTATTTCATTCAGTAACTCGGTTATTTTGAGTTTTCGAACTAACTCTCAAAAAGACCATACATGATCCATAAGACCACTCCCAGCGAATATACGTCGGTTTTTTCGCTATACAGTTTTTGTCTGATGGATTCTGGAGCCAAGTATTGCACTGTACCAGCCAAATGTTTCACTTTTACACCTCCGAAACCTGTTCCTGTTCCTGCTGGACCGGAAGAATCTTCAGAGCTAGATGTAGATGGCCCTTTTTCCATCAATGCGCCAAAGTCGCAGAGTCGAACATGTTGTTCCGTAGCATCCTCAAAGAGGAAATTCTCGAGTTTGATGTCCCTATGCAAAACGCCACAAGAATGACAATGGCCTACTGCTTCCACCATCTGCAAGAAGACTTTGAGTGCTTTGGACACTGGCGGAGCGTGTTGTTCGGTTTTGGCATTAGAAAACGAGGGACAAGGATTTATTTCCCGGGAATGGAGTACTAGCGCTCATTAAGGAAGCATGTAGTTGCTCATGATGTTGATGGGAAGGTGAAGGAGAATACTTACACATATATTTATTCCATCGTGAATTAAAAATCGTCGAAGTCCACCAGACATAACTAAATGATGCAAAAGCCACTCGCAAACGTCAACTCCGTAACAGAGGGTCATCACTGCGATCTGCTTTTTACCACCATCAGCCTCGAAATGCTCCACCAGTTCGACGATGTGTGGATTTCGGCCTAAGCGGGACCATAACTGAAGTAAAAGTTGTAATGCATAGGAGTGTGGGACCAAAGCTGTGGAGTTGACGTTGTCATGTATCTATGCATAGTTGTAGTGTGATGAAAATTGTGATCTTCATGTAGTCCGTCGTAGTCCTAGTCCTGCTCATAGTCATATTTACAACGATCAAGAACTACGTCATTAAAGGAAAAGAGAATGAGATAGAGACCAATGAGAAGCATATTCATTACAAGCATGAAGTACCTTAAAACTCGCTCTATCCTCAGCATCGCCGATTTTTACTGCCCGTTTGGCTTTCGAATGTCGGTTAACACAGCGCATCACACTCCCACAATTAGAGCCCACCCTAATCTATCTTGAGACTCATCTCGGATCTGTTTTCCTCTTATGGTACAGCGTCGAGATGCTTCCGGAGCAGATGGATTAGGGGAAGCCATAACATAAGCTCCTTCCCCGAGTTTGTCCACGTCTTTTATCTTGCCCTTTTTTAGAGCTCAGCAGTCGGTGGTCCCTGACTCTGAACGGAAGAGATCCCCTTCAAAGCTCTCCCCTTTCCCTTAGTTTTCCCCTGTTCTCTCAAGGGGTCGCCTCTTCGATCTCAGTGACCAACCCCGATGACCATTGAAAGTTGAGCCTTAACTTTTGGAATTTGTACTTCTCTTGAAATTCTTCCAAGGTGCCAGGTTTGTAGGAGGATTCGGCGCGGTCAACAACACTTGGAGGGGGTTCAGCACAATGGACTAGTTTTGAGAGTCTTCCGGAACGATAGCATGAAGGGTACTGTTGTGATGGTCCTCGATTGAGCGATCGATGGACACTGTTCTTTCTTCGTGTCTCATCAATATTGTTGATCTCGTTACCAGCATGGTCTAAGCTTGTGTAGTACGTACTCGAAAAGCTCGGCGTCCTCACATCCTCTTCGCATCGTACTGGCTCATTTCTCCGTCCACTACAGGCGGACAATGCCCGAGGCAAGAGATGGTTCACAACGTGGGCATGCATTCTTTCACGGATTCAGATGCAGATGTAGTTGTGTTCTTTTAGATTTATTACATTCACTGTTTCATCAAAAATGCTGTAAAGCTAAAGGTGAATGTTGGTGGCTCTGTGTCCTTCTTTCAGCCGCGCTTGCTTTTGTCGTTTCTACGTGGACGAGGTCGTGCGTCACGACGTTCGGTTCCTGGTTCAGGTCTGTGCGGCGCCGGCCTTCGTCGTGAAAAAAAACCTCCCTAGATAACCTCTAAAAATGCAGCGAGTTGTAGATAACCTCTAGAAATGCAGCTCATCTCTCAGCCCGTGAAAAAACCCCTGGTATGCAGCGAGTTGTAGAACAAGTTATTGTTCTCGTACTGGAGTAAGATCTTCGAGTCCATCCTCATTTCAGACACTCAACGTTGCCTGTAGACGACACAGGCACAGCAAAAACAATGTTTCCACCATGTGCTCATCTCTCAGCCCGTGAAAAAATCCCTGTGTTGATATATCGTGGAGCTTCGGGGTGAGGGAAAGCTCCTAAGTTGCTTTGTTCTGAAGGTTCATTGAAAAGCTCATAGTACTAATAGATACTTACTAGAGGTATTGAAGGAAAAGGTAAACTAATACATAAGACTACTTAGAGATGATCGATGTCGATGATCCTTCTAGTAGTTTTCAGCCAGCTATGAAAAACAAGTAATGACTAGGAAACCACGATCTGTATTGATTCTAAAAAGCGAAACATTTCTTTACACAGAATACTTTTCAAAAACGCTGGCTATATGTATCAACACCACTCAAAAAGTGTGGGTTGCGATTTCACTATATCTACTGTGCAGGCAGTCACTACTACTACATAGAATTTAAAAAAGATGTTGGTACTAGGAGAGGTAGGACATTTTCCAAAGGTTGGAGGTGCATTATCTTGAAACTAGTAGTGGTCAAATCGACACACACTGCTGTGTCAGGATGGATGTTTTTCTACGTATGCATTTATGTCACGGTTTACTAGTTGTAGGAGGAGAATTAGGTGAAGATGCGTAATTAATTTCTACATTGAGTGCCATTCTCACTGAAACAACAATTCGATGTCATCATCGTCGCCTCCACTCTGGGCATTGATTTCGCTAGTTTGGATCGCATCCGCATTGCCGCTCACATCGAAAGCGGTCTGTGATAGGAATAAATGTCCGTTCTCCACGCCAGGTGGACCATACTCCTTCACAACCGGTTCCGGGTTCAAAGCTACCCAAGCACAAGTCGTTTCAATACCCACAACGTTGGCGCCGAGGGCGACTGGAAGCCAACCTGGTGTAGGGGGCAGTCGTGCAGGTTGTACTCTTCGACAAACAGCAACAAGAACATGATTACTTCAAATTCAATCAGGACAGATTGAGGCAAATTAATAGAGAACAACCATGTGATTGTGAGGTCTTGTTCACTGCTTGTTCTTGTCGTAAAAAAAATAAGTCCAAGTAGGTAGAAAGTACCCTCTTCTCCCCACGCTGTTCCCCAGCTGTTTCGCACATGCCAGAAGGGTGTGCCTTCTACTCTGTTCTTCCCAGGAACAGGAAGCGTTGGCGTAGCTGCTGACTGTACACCCCATCCGACGACGCCGATGAGATGGTCAAAGTCCCAACCTGCTGGTTTCGGCTCGTTGGCATACAGAATGTGGCCACGAGAGTAGCCCAACATGATGTTCGAGTCCACACTACAGGTAATGGGGCCTCTCAAGTAGATCTCAGCCTTCATCCGTCTGATCATCTCAGCGTGAGCCATGAAACTCATTACCATGTCGTAACCCCCTGGTGAAGAAGAAGGTGTAGCACCATTTCCACCTTGTTGGCTTGCAACTATTAGACCTTCCGGGAATCCATCTTGAAACTCATCTTGGACCCGTTTCCCCCTTCTTACTACACGGAAGGTCCAAGATGCTTCTCAAAATGGGAGATTTCCATTTCCGGAAGTCTTAAAACTAAGTCGTTTGGCATTTTCGCCTCAAGTTCCTTCTTGATTGCCGCAAGATCGATGACGCCATACTCCTCTACAAAATACTTGCCGAATCGTTGGACAGCATAACAGCCGGTTGACGATTCGTTGCCTGGTATTGATGTGGAAAGGATGAAGTCAAGGACACAGAAGGATGTCGAGATGAAACTGATGAAGATGAACAACAAGACGGACCAGAAGCAGTATTTTTGATGGAGAAGATTTGCAATTACCCAGGAGATGACACGTTTCTATTTGTTTGTAGAATTTTCCTGTAGCGCCATGGCTCTTCGTCTTCTCTTTCGTATAAATACAAAAAATGTTCTTTTTTATTTCTCTTCCACGTCGTATCAGGTGATACCAGCTCTCCCATCGGGCGTTGGGTCACAGTTCATGCACGTTCGGAAAGGCGAGCATTCGTAATCTCTGGCTTCGTAAACTTGACAAGACTCATCTGGCAGACCATGTTGTTTCACATAGTTGGCGATTAGAAAACGAAAAGGGAGGTTAATGTCAACATTCATTCCATACTTCCTCCTGTTTTTGCTAGTGTAGTTGTGGTACGGTTATTAATAAAGTTAAGTAAGTACGAGTAGGACTAGAAGGGTGATCAACAACAACATCTATTTCAGCGTCGAGCTCGAGGCAATAAAGAAGTCACGTTATTCACATAGGTATAGTGTCACATCCGATCCACCGTTACAGCTTCCGGCTGTGTCCTTTCCGCAATTGAGCACCACTTGTCTAGACAAAACTACATCTTCACCACGTCCGCGTCTGGCGATCTTCAGCCTATCGTTCATAGCGGAAACACCGGCATGCAGCCAGCAGGCGCCACAGTATCGAGGAATGTGCTGGTTGAGGATAGGTGTCAACATGGATACTGTACGAGCGGGAGTGGGTGCGGGTATTAGAGCAGGAGTGATATGAGTAGTTAAGCGAGCGTCTGCGTAGTGAGAAGTGCGTGTTGCAAATAAAGGAGTGATAAAGAAGCTTTGAAAATATTTTTAAGAGAATTGCCGCAGACGCAGCTACTACTGCCATTTTTTCCAGAGGCGGATCCAGATGAAAGGTTCAAAAATAATATCTCAACACCCCACTAACCCTTCCTAGCTAGATCATAACAAGTAATGCTCGATGTGATGCGTCACATTTCCAACAACACGTGGCAAAATTCGATCGAATTTGTCAAACCAGTGGGGATCAAAGTATTTGTCCTCTTCATTTTCCCCAGAGGACTTCTCTAAAAGCATCGTCTGTACATGCTCATACTTCTTTCGAAGATGTTGTTGCTCGGTAGCTTCCACACTGGACTCGGATAAGGAAAAGGCAGAGAGAAACCTGGAGTGTGCTTCCTTCGAGATGACCTTAAAAATGGTGCTGATTTCAGGTGTAACCACTCGAAACCAAATCATAGTGTCATCATCAAAGAATGTCTAAATTCTCGTGGAGGGTACACATAAAAACCGGTACACATATTGTATCACCAGTACCGCCTCATCAACGTCTTTCCTTTTTGCCCTGGTTGTGGTGCTTCATCTGCTTTTTTCTTCAACACGCGTTCCAGTTTTTCACCTGTCCGTACGACATGAGACCAATCGACTTCACGCCATGAGAAGTCCCGTGGCAATTCCTCAGTCTCGAAAAGCTCGTATGCTTCTACTGTTTTCACATTCTTCTTCCACAAATGAGCGTTTGCCGACGAATCGTAGGGAAAAGGACGCTTCAGGAGACAGGGTAGAAGTTAGAGAAGAGGCGAAGACATGGTAGAGGGATCATGTGTCTCTGTGCCGAAAATAGGCGACCGACATTGAAGAAGATGTTGAGTAGTTGTGTTACAACGTCTTGTTCAATGAAACATTGTTCTGTTTTGGTGAATGGGGACAAGAAGAAAAACCATTTGCTAGTTGGGTAATGACAATCGTAATTGTGTTTTGCCGCTGCAGGAACCGACGATGCGCTCGAGCCGGATGAAAATTCCGTACTCCGTAAAGCCCCCTCTGCCACGGCAAGTAGTGTGAGCTGTGTGGGCAAGCCGAGCATTAATCGTCGCCACATGCAGTTGTCGTCGCGCGTCATCTTTGTTCGGTGTTGATGATACTTTGTCATTTTGTTTTTTTGTATAATAACGAGCACTCTTTCTTTGGTGCTAGTAATTACAAGTGGTGGTTCCTAATTGCCTCTTCTTGTGTGGAATAATATACACGGGCAACGAGTACGCTGTGACATGGGCGAGGCCTTTTTTTGCGCGCGTCAGTGCTGTCTAATCAAATCCGATATTATCGTGTCGCAAAAATGGTATCGTGTTCGCACTTCACTCGGGAAACAAAAGAAACCACACACCAATAAATGCAACCTGATTCGGCGGCAGCGAAGGCAGACAGCGGCCGACTCGCTTCGATTTCTATAAGAAAAGCGGTTGCCGAAGCTGACTGTGATATGCACAATTTACGTCAAGAAAGACCAGAAGAATTATCAAGAAGAACGAGCATGTTGACCTGCTCCAGTTGAATCTGTGTTGACGATGTAGTTACCGCATTTGTCGCAACTTATGTCGTTTCATTCAGCGTGAGCTTCAACATGATACAACTGCTAACTGGTGCTCAGGATTGCTATTTCAAAATTACAAGTACATCGAGGTCAAGGATATATTATGTTCTCAATATCTTTGGCTATATTCTACTCTTGTTTATTTCATCAGCTCTGTCTCATGATTTTCTAGTACCCCTATAGGAGCTGCTTCAAACAACAGACACTGGTAGAAGCGTTCTCCCGATGAGTCAACACGCTCACAGTAAAAGAGGCAGAAAGTAAGATTATGTTCTCGTGGGGGCGGGTTAAGGGGTAAGTATTTAATTTTATGATCACAAGGCAAGCAGACACAGAGCGGGAAGGAAATCAAGGTACATAACAAGAACTGAGCAAGACATGACTAAACACAACAAGCTACCAGAAATTACAGGTGCACTAAGTGGTTACTTTCTCAATTCTTGATTTGGCAAACAGGAGCTATGTATGATCATAAACCTAGACCTACCAGCTAGTACATCCTCAATTTTCCTATCTTTCAAACTTACCTTTGTAGAAGTTGAACTACATCTTGTTCATCTAGTGGTAGTACAAGTACTCCTTTTATGTAAACAATAAAAACGTGCTCATAATCATGATTAACGAAGACCGCTAATACCTAATCTTTCTAAGTATTTCGTAGTGCTGTTTGGCTGTATTCTCAAGTTTTCCATGTTTCGCAAGCAGAGCAATCATGTAGCAACGTGCAGAACATCTCGTCCTCGTCTTTTATGTGTGTAAATCTAACTACTCCAACAACATCAACTACATCAACGAGCATCTTTTATTTATATAAATCATATATGTCTTCGGACTGTAGTGCAAATGCGTGTGTTGGTCTTGGAATAAATTCAGAAGATCAAAAAATGTACTTCTTAAATGGCAAGAAGAATCACCTTGTCCGTATGTGTTCTAGTTTTTTGTCAGGCACGATAAATAGCAAAAAACCTGTTCTACATCAGGTCGTAGTCTCCTCCACCGCCTGCAAGTACCCTATGAGCAATCATAGCGCCAATACCACCTAACAAGCCTATTGAGGCCCGTCCACGTGGTCCTTCTCTATCCTGATGATCGTCTTCCTCCTCTTCCAGAAGATTATCTTTGAAGTCCGCTACCCCTACCGCTTGTTGTTCGTCATCTAATTCATGTCCATGGCGCTCGTTTGTAGTTACAGTTTCACGTTGTTGCTCTTGTGCTTGCTCGTCAACGTCCATCGGCTGTGATACAACTTCTACTCGGTTCATCTGAGAATCGTTTACTTCATCTTGAAAGTCTTCATGTCGTGGTTGTACGTGAACTTGTTGTGATTCCTCGATATGTTGAGCCTCTCGAGAACCCTTCGTCTCTTGATCTTGTCGTGCTTGCAAACGAAAAATACCACGTCGTCTTGTTTCTGCTCCTCCTGTACCTGCTTCACCAGATGCAGCCGCACTAGGTGTGCCAGCGGTAGCAAGCGTTGGTGGAGGATTTTGAACCTGGATCGGTGGCAGTCGATTAATCTGTAGTTTTGATGCACCTGAAGAGGCGATGTTTCGCAATGCGGCTAGTACATTCTGTCCTGTAGACGACGAGAGACGAAGGTAAGAGGATGAAGACGGCTCTGATGGAGATTCTTGAGAAGAAGTTATTACTTCTGAGCTTGATTTTGATGAAGATTTCGTCTGATCAACTGTAATAATCGATGGTAAAGATGCCAACTTTTTGATCTGCAAGACGTTTTCGTTACCCTCGACTGCTGGAGTATGCGTATGCCTTCCAATAGTGCCTGTCATTTGACTTCCCAGCATGGGACGAAGTCGAATCTCTGGCACGACCTCGGGTGTCAAGTAGCCTGTCGTACCCTTGATGTTTTTCAACTTGATGGTGTCCAATGGCCGTATGGAAGGCATGACGCCAAGCTTGGGGATTTCACTAGAAGCAAGAGCAGATGGGACGAAAGCAAGATCTTCAACGGCTACGGCAGTTCCACGACTGAAGAGAGGAACAACAGGCAGATCGTTTTCGACCGTATTTGTGACCAACATGTTGCTGTAAGTAGAAGTTGTTTTGATATCTTTGCGTGGTGCTACATCAGGCCAAACATTTCGTGTAGTCGCGTTTTTCTTCACCACAGCACTAGGTCCTCTAGGAGATGTTCCTCGAGGATGAGAATGAGAAGCTTGACCATTACCAAACCAGGACAACCCAGCAGAACTGGCACAGGCAGAAGAAGCTCGCTCCAAATAGGGAGAAGGAAGAAGAGATGAGGGCGGCGCAACATAGCAGTTTTCTCGTAGGTATTCGACATGCTCGCGGAAGAAGTCACTCATAGGACTCAAATACGACTGCACATCGACATCCGCCATTGTTCTCGATGCCCAAGAGGCCCAATTTGAAGAACTTTCTGGATAGTCGTCGGCGTCTTCTTGGTCAGAGTAATTAGAGCTATGATCGCACATAGAAAGACATTTACCTCCTCCTCATGTACGACTCGCCTACGACTCATCATCTGATGGATCAGCCAGGATGAATTAGAATTTCTTAATTTAATACAACTTCAACTTCAGTCCTCGTTATTAAGAAGTATTAACTAACATACAAGCACAACCACGACAAGCAGTATCAAATAAATAAAACCAAAAGTGATATACATAGATATTTTCAGCCATAAGATAAAACAAAGAGGATTGAGGACGTCCACGAGAGCAGAGTGAGGGAGCTGCGGAGTTGCGAGCAAGTAGAGCTGCTCCAGCGACCGCGCAAATCGTTGAGAGAGCAGCTGCGGCAGGCGTGCGACAACAAGGGATGCGGCGACTGCAAGAACCACGAACACGGCCACTAGTCGTTTTGGTTGCTTGAGAAGTTTGAGCCTGGTCCTTGGAGGTTTTTAGTTTTACAACTACATGTTCCTTCGAAGATTCTACTTGATCTAGGTTTTCCATTGACTTGCCTTTATTCCTGCCGTACAACTTTTTCTTCTTGCTTTGGGAAATCGCGGACGGCGTACCTCCAACACTGTCTCCTCCTTCTCCAGCCACAGTAGAAGCGGGACTTTCAAGGACCAAAGGACTTGTCGCACTACCTGCAGTAGAGCTCGAACCACCTATGCTAGGCTCAAGAATTTGTTCGGGAGAAGTCGAGGCAGGAGTTCCTACATCAGCTTCAACATCACCACCTAGTGTGGAAGCGAAATTGTTCCTATTCGAATTTCGACGCCTCAGATTTCTTTTCTGCGACTTGTTGAGGGCAGCTGTTGATTTGCTCATCGTGGAGGACTGTTGAGACGGAGAGGAGGTGGAAGTACAAGGTGGTAAGACGACTTCATCAGCTCCGTGTTCATCTTGTTGATCTGGATGTTGTCCATGTAGTTGTTCAATATTTGTACAAGAAGTTCTAGCAATATTCTTCATCTCTTCATATTCATTGTTCTCTTCATATTCATTGCTTTCCTCCTGCTTTTCCTCCTCGACGAAGTCCGGCTCTGGCGGAGCTTCCGCTGGCGGCGGCGCTTCATCGTCGCCCGCCCAATCCTTTGTGGGAAAAAACGTACAGGATGGAAAAGCTTCCCTGAAAACAGCTAGGACGACTTCTTCGGCACACGCAGAAGCAGTAGCTTGGGCAGCCTCAGTCGAGGCAGCTTCATCTGACTGCTCAACTGAGTGCGTAGAGGAGGACGGAACAGCAGAGGTGGCAGTTGCTCCACAAGGAGGACACCAGAGTGTGGAAGACACGACTGGTGGCATTTGGATTTGCTCCCTTAGAGATCGCATTTCCGTCTCTGGTGAGTCTTCGGCTACACCAGCAAAAATCTGCACATCATCATCTCTTTCCTCCACTTTTTGACATGATTGATGAACATGTTGCTGTTCTTCCTCGTGGTCTACGTCTACTGCATGTGCATCTTTGCGTTCGTGTTCAGCTTCTACTTCCACCCGATCTTCTCCCCAGTCTACCTTGATCCCCAGTCTTTTCATAGCACGACAAGCCTCTTCCATTTCGCGTTTGGCCTCTTCCTCCGCAGCCGCAGCAGCCTCGCGATCCATCAACAGTGCTCCTTCATTTCCTTGACCACAAGAACCGTCTTGAAAAAGAAGAGGCGCCACTTCCTCTAGGGGAGTTTGGGGAGGTGTTCGTGCATCTTCATTGGCAATGGTTGACGTGCCACATGGAGTGGAGGTAACAGGTGGTTCTTTGTTTGCGTGGTCGTCGTTCACGCCTTCCGCTGGTTCTTTATTTGTGTGGTCGTCTTTCGCGTGCTCCTCTAGTACGTCCTCAACAGGAGGAGGAGCGTCTCTCTCCTCCTTCACTTCCTCCGGTGGCTCATTTACAGAATTCGTCTTCTTCTCGTCACCTTCTTCAGCTTCATCAGCGTTTTTTTGAAAATCAGCTTGTGGTGACGACGACAGATCACTGGTCGCACCACGTCGAAAAGGAGGCCTGGTTTTGCCGCCCTTCTTGTCCCTCTTGTTTTTGACCGTAGAAGTTGAAGGTGATGTTCTTGACACTTCATTGACATCTTGAAGATCTACTAGCTGTTTTTCCTCTCTTTTCTTCCCAGTGCCAGTCCCACCTTTCATCATATTCTCCTCAGCACGTCCTTTCTCCATCAAAGCTCTCTCCAAGTTGTCTAGCATGTGAGTCTTACTATCCTCCGGGATGTAGTGGACATTCATGTGGGCTTGAGTTCGTGGAGATACTGGAGGACAGAAGGAGCTAGAAGCATGAGCGTTTCTGAGTCCCCCTGAAGCTCCGAAGTAGCCTTCGTGTCCCTCTTGGCCTCCACCTCCCAAATGTACTGCCGCTCCCGTAGATGCAGAACTGCCTCCTCCAGTTGTACTAGAACTAGCAGTAGGAATCGACAACAGAATATGATCTTTCAGGGATGCCGTGGACGCAGGGACAACATCAGAAGACGTCGAAGGTTGCTTCGTCAACCTTGCAGAACAGTCCCACTTGCCAAGAGGACCCACTCCCACGTGAGAGGTGGAATGGGAGGACGTAGCTGTAGCTGGAGGAGAGCCTGCTGCACAACTGCTACCGGAGGTGGATGGAGAACTTCCACTCCTTGGACTGGTTCTCAAATGTTGACTCAAAAAAATTTTGCGAGGATTTTCCCCTGTACTGTGGTAGCTTTCATCATGTTCATCACCTCCTACCTCATGTTGACCACCAGAAGCACAAGCCCCACCTACATTCCTGACGCTGCGTCTTGACAGGGATCGTTGACGCGCATACTGGCGCCACTTGCCGCTGACTGTTTGTGCACAATTAACTTCCCAAGGCGTCGCCAACTGAGGTCCGCGCCACGCCGCATCCTCTTGGCTACTTCGACCACGTAGTTTTTTGGCTGCAGTACTTAGAGCCCACCCCAATACATCTCCACGTAAGTCGATCCTGCGACTATTTTTCCTTTGAAAACATCTCTACAAACATACAATCAATGCTTCCGAAAAAGAAGATCGATTAGGGAGAGCCTTAAAGTAGAGGAGGACGCAAGAGAAGGCCAGCCGTACGGACTACGGGCATTCCGGAAACAAGCACTCCCAGGAGGACTGCAAGTGGATGAAGGGGAAATGGGAAGGGTGGAGAACCCTTCGTTACGAGAACCTTGATGGACAACATCTTCATGCTCATCTCCTGCTTGATGATGATGGCCTTGCTGTTCATCATCCTCTTCGCCAACATGCAGACCATCATAGTGCTCGTCTTCTTGTAGGTGAAGGTTGTGACGCCCGCTGCTGTTTTCATGCTCTTGTTGATCACTCATCATCTGCGGGCCTCCAAACATAGTGGTTCCTGCAAACATTTGCTGGAATGCACTGTAGTTCGCAGGATTGCCAATCCATGGTGACATAACAGCAGCTCCAGTATAGTTCGTGCCAAGCCCAGCAGCTACCATCATTCCAGTGCTCGGATCTACTCCCCACGTTGATGCGTTGAACTCGACCGGCAACACAGCTACAGGAACGGCCTGAAACACCAGCGGAGGGTGCTCGCTGCTGTAATCTTGCATGTTCATGTTTGCCATCGGAGACATGTTGGGATTGGCGTGGTATTGCTGCTGAGTTAGATGATGATGGACGAGGCACTAAGTCGTATTTTATAGACATAGAAGTCGTACTTGCATCCTTGATCTTGATGAAGTCATCTTCATATTCATTTGCTCTTTCCAGATGAGTTTGAAGATATACTACAGAGTACGAATACATCACGATGGCCGTGAGATGGAGGTCACACAATAAACAACCGCGCTACCGCTAGCCATAATTGTTGAGGCGAACCTCCACTGAGCTGTTGTTGGTCTACTGCCGAAGTCGAAGGAGAGCCACAGGATCGGTCGATCCCGCTCATCAAGGGAGAATTTTGGATCTGATAACCCTCATCAGCTTTTTCTGGGACGTCGGTTTGGTCATCCGGCGTAGCTGGAAAGCAATGACGAGGAGTCGTCGCGCCACCTTCCTGCGAGCCAGATAGCAAGGACCTGAGTGATGTTGTTGATGATCCTGTTGGAGGACTTCAAAATCGGAAAGTCAGTGTATTTTTTACTCCAAGTCACATCATTGTATTTTTACTACTTTTAGCATCATTAAAAGCAGCTTGAACTTCGTTATGAGATAATCAGACAGCAAAACTTTGTTGCAAAAAAATCTAAATCACCTCATCTGATGATCAGGATCAAGTAGTAGGTGTAGGTAGTTACCCAAGCGAGACGTCCAGCGCAGCTGGCTGCTTACGATGTCGTGGAGTAGAAGTACTACCCTCTGTTTGCATCAACAAGTCAGCTTTGTTTGAACTACGAGGACTCTCAGACAGCACCTCCTGCTCATCTGTATGATCTCTGTTCAAATGTCCAGACGTGGAGGAGACTTCTGGTGCCGACGCTGCGCGTCCGAAACGGGCTGGATGAAACGCTACCTGTTCCTCAGACGAGTAGAACCCTGCAGCCCCAGGCCATCGGCTGGACGCGGAGGGCGACGAAGGTGAGGAATGCACTTGGCGCCAGAATTAGGGCTTTCCGATATTGTTCCCCTTTGCCCTCCATCCCTGAACTGTATCACGATGAGAATACTCAGGCATACTTTTCAGGGATGCCCTCAAATAGATGAACCATTTCTAGTCTTAACGTAAGCCCCGCCATTTAGCGATGCTCATCATCTCATCGTCGTCGGTTGAACCTGTGCGTTCACGTCCCTGTAACTCATTTGACGAAGTGAGAGTATTACTTAGCAACACCTCGTCGTCATCTTCTTGTGCCGGACCCCTTGCTGGTGTTCTATCATCAGTTGAAATCACTTCACCTCCCGTAGCCACAAGAGTATCGTTTGTAACGGAGATGACGGAGGGACTGCGATCGGACGGAAGTTGAGGGCCTGGCCTGGGTGCTGGCGAAAGAGACCTCCCACGACCACGTGCTAATGCAAGGGCGCGCAGCTTTTCGTCTAATTCCTCTAAACTGGAAGCATCAGCGATCTGATGACGCTCAGCTGGCTCGCCGGAGGGCATCGTAGCATGCTGACCTTGTAGTTGCTGAGGCGCTAGGAGTACATGCTGTTGAGAATCTAGATTGTAACAAGAAGAAGTTTGAAATCATAATCAACATCTAGTATTTGGAGCGAAGAGTCATTAGCATTACTTTTAGATACCACTGCCATCCTCACGTGCTGCCAGGGTGATATTCTCGGGTGAAACTCGGAGCTCTGGAGGGATACTGCCAAGCCGCTCTTCCTCTTGCAATTCCATGGGCATGGCAAAATTAGAAGTAAAAAACAAATGAGTACATGTTTCCCTCGGCATCAATCGAAGTACTTGTCGATGCGGTCATAATCAGCACTGAGATACTTAGGCTGTTCGTCTGTCTCCTGCAGTATTGCTTCGTATTCGTTGCGAAGATAGTATAAGACTGTTGCGGATGTCCTAGCTGTCCCTTTATACTTGTCCTCGGGCCAGTTCATGTCCACGCAACGACAGAGCGACTGCTAAGTCTGCGAAAAAGGAAACTAAGATATGTATTAACAAACTATCGCCATAAGCGAACTACTACCGTCTGCGGGGTAGAGTCTTGGAGTGGCGATTCCGTAGTGCGGCTCCACGTATCCCATAGGTTCCTGTTCATTGTCACTGTCCCCACGTGGAGTGGCTAGCGAGAATGTTTCTGGTCCGCTCCTTGATGTAGTTGTTCCCAAGTTACAGTTATTAGCGAGAATAGGAGGACCAATTATTTAGGGATCTTTTATCGTTGTAAACGAGGTAAACGAACTGTAGTATGAATATCTGTTGATGATAAATAATGAAATGTAGGCTCTTCTTAGTGTGTTAGTTGTGTGAGGTGTTTTTAGGCTCCGTGTTAGGATCCTCGCTCACACATCCAGATCTCAGTAGTCTAACTATGTCTAACTAAAATGCGATGAAAAACAAAAACGTGCCTTAAGACCAAATGATGGCAGTAAGCCAGGGACGCCCAGCAATCGAGGAGCATGCGGAACAAGCGGTGCAGCAGAAGCTTTATCGCTACTTGCTTTCGCGATAGCAGCAGGTGCGTCCTGTTGCCCGTGTGGTGCGATGACGCTTACTATCTTAGAGGGACAACAGTGGACTCGATGAGGGCTGCAAGTTCAATTTCTAGTACTTAACCTGCATGGAACTACTTTTCAACTACTTAGGTTGTTGAGCTTGAGATTATGCTGCAACCCGTAGTTGTCAATGTAGTAAATGCTCAGGAAATCAATATCAAATGACTCCGTGCTGTAATAATTATTACAGCCCGGAATTGTTGTGGCAGACTGTAGAATCAAGATGACTGCACGCGTTGTTGCATCAGGTACTTATGATGACGTTCTCGCTAAAGAAATTGTAAGAAGAAAGAATTTTGAGCTTGTTGTTCAGCTTGTATCTTCTAGTTCTCCGAGGACGAGTGCCGTAATAGTCATTCCATGCCTTTCTTGATCCTGAGAAGGATGTTGTGCTTGTGCAGGTGCATCAGGTTGCTCTTCCTCAGAAGGATGTTGTGCTTGTGCAGGTGCATCAGGTTCCGGCTCTTGTTAGACCTAATACATAGAGATCCATCCCCAGCGGCATCTTGGGTCTCCTTTTCCCTTTAAAAACGGGACCAAGATGACAGTGAAGATGGATTGTTTGATCTTGTACCCTTAATCTTGATTCGACTGGAAGAACTCCTCTTCTGTTGTTTCGAAAAGCTCAGGCTCAGCTGCTTGACGGGTAAAACTAAAATGCAGTGGCGAGGAAAAAAGCAGGTCTGAGGCAGTGGGTGAAGTTAGGTCCACTTCTGGATGATACGTGGTATTACTTGTATCTACTGCTCCGTCTACAAGAGGTGGTCGAGGACTACGAGGATTCTCCTGTTCATCTTCATCATCCCTCTTTTCTAGTACTTGTTCTGCTTTAGCATTAGCTTGATGTTGATGTTCACCTTGATCATGTTCTTCCGGATTTTCCACATCATGATCATCAGTCTTCGGGTTCTGTAGGTCCTCGAGAGGCCTATGATCTAAGAACTCAGCATCAAGGTCAAATCCGGGCGTACCTCTGATATGAAATTCTTCTTGAGCAGTTCTTTCCTCCGATTCTGCCTCAGCATCAACAGTGCCATGTGGTGCACTTGAATCTCTCTTCATCCCCTGCTCTAGAACAAGATCTACTTGAGCAACATGTTCCTCAGAGTCACCAGCTCCGTCACCCTCATCGGAACCTTCGCCGATGTTGAAGACTTGGGGCTTGCTTTTCGTCTGCTCTTTCAAAGGTTCGCTTCTGACATGCTCACTCCTCAGGCTTTCTCGACTGCTGTTGGCGGATGCTCTAGACGGTTCGGATACCCTAGTAGAATGCACGGGAGAACCAAAAATCTTAGAAGACTCCAAAGATATCAATAACAATAAAGTGACCTAGTAAGCCAGGAAGATGTTAGGTAGTTGTATCACAGGAAAATAAACAGTACTTATATATTCCCTTTTTTACTACCACCGATTTTGCCCACAAGTTATCTCACCACTCAGTCGCAAGACAGGACCGCGCGGATGAAGCCGACTACTTTCGCAGCCGATGGCGAGGTCTTTAGCTAGCTCGTTTAACTACGAACATCGATAAAGTGACCTAAAAATTTTTCTAGTAAGCCAGGAAGATGTTGGGTAGTTGTGCATGTTATCTAGACAAAAGTCACGATACTTAGCATCGCACTGCTCCGTAGAGGATTAAGAGAACCCTGAGGATCAAACTCAGGTTACCAATACCAAATACCAGAACCATAAATCATACCCATGATCTATTCTCATCTTAACTTTATTGAATTCAAAGCACGCGTCGTCCATCCAACAGCTTCTGTTGATCTCTTGAGCCATGCGTTGGGCTGCGCTAGAGGTAGTCACATCTGACTCACCTGCTTCACTTCGAGTGCCGTTCTTATCTGGGGAACCATTGAAGTTGGATTTCTCCTGCATCGACGGTGGGAATAATTAGACGAGTGAAGGTGTGAAAGCAAGTCATCTTCTTGGACTCACTTGCACTTTCCCACTTAACTATTATTCTCATATAGCTGGTGGAGCAGACCTAACTAGAAAAACCATAACCGAATGAAGGTAGTAGAGTAGTCAATGCCGAGCAAAAACTTATCTACTAGTAAACTAAGCACCGGAGGACGCAAAAAAGATTGGCCTTACTTCTCATGTTCACCATGTTCTTGATCGGTATTACCACCAGCTTCTTGAGGCGGCTCGTCCACATCCATCGGCGCTTTCGTACTACTACTATCAGAACGCGGAGTCTGATGTAGAATTTTGAATATTCTAGGTATTTTCGAAAAAAGTAGTACAACAACTGAAGCCTACGGCACAACTCCAACTGTTACTCCTAGGAAAATGTGTCTATAGTACTAAGCCTACAGACCAACGACAACTACCAGCACAGGCGACACGGCGAGCTGTTCCGTGTGGCGACGTGGTGTGGAGTTGTCTGCACGCCAAATGCCATTCTGCAGTTCGCCAAGCAACGAATCACGACTGGGAGAACGCAGTTGGTCATTGCCACTCGGTCGTAAAAGTCGATCCGACGAAGCAGATAAATTCTGGGATTAGAAGATTTTGCTTCAAAATCTAGATGCACAAGTCCCGTGCAAGATTCCAAAGCAGTCAGTGCACTTGATATTGGTATCAGGACACGTATCTATTGGCCCGCATCTGTTTGAAGATATTTGCATAATTCATTGGGAACGAACCAAAAGCAAGATGTTAGCCTTAATGCAACGGCGGCGTCGTCGGTCGAGAAAGAGGCGGTCCTCGTGTAAAATCGTTCATTTTCTGCAGTAGTCTCTCACCAGAAATTAGCAGTAGCAATTTTTTTTATATCACCATTTGAACTACAGCAAGTGTTGAATAATACACATACAGGAGCTTCTAGAGCATTCATAACGTGGTAGACGCAGGCGCCAATGCTGTAGGCATTCCCTGGGTATGCAAATTGTGAGCAATCATCTGCGTAAGAGGCGAAAAAGCGGTTGGCAGTCCTGTCGCAAACAGCGATGGAGGTGGCGTTCCAGATCGTGTCGGTGGTGAAAGCGTTGAAGTTGCATATGCATGTTGACTTGCAACTGAGGCGGGAAAAGAGTCTGGCGGTACACCCGCATTTGGCGCAGTAATATGGATTGCATAGGAGCTCGACGAAGATGCCTTTGGCTTGACGCTGTGGAGGGTGTGGAAGAAAACAAAGACAATGAAGAGTACTTATTATCATAAACCACCCTTTTTTCAACAGCAACTACATGATCTACATCTACATTATTCTAGTTCCTCTGATGAAGATGAACATCATTCTATTAATCTATTTCTCTCAACACGATTTGAATTTGATATACCGGATGGCGTGATTGTCGTCATCATTCCTTTCATCTAGAGACGACAAAGAAGACCGCGACCCGAATTGTGGAAGCTCGCTCTTAGCGGATGTATGATGTGGCTTTTCATCCTCGTCCTGACAAATGTGTAACCACAGACACCTGACGCTGAGGGTCACTGTGTTTGTGTGTGACTACAGACACTAAAGGTAACAGTTACTTATATACTTGTTCCCTATGATGTGTGGGTCATTTGTTCCCTATGATGTGTGATCCCCTGTGGTAGGTTCAAGAATTCCATCAATGAACGGGTCTTTTCAAGATCAAGGAGAAGGACTCCGAATGAGAATACTAAAAATTACCATCCTCATATGCTAAGAGAATGACCTAATCAAAGTCCAGACACATGAAGTGGTCTAATTATCAAGTAGGACTCTAGCTCTACGGTAGAGGACCCTTGCTTAATATTAACCGCCTCTCCACTTGAATTTGAAATCTTGACCATGGCATGATTGGTCGGAATATCCTCGATGTCATCCGTCAGGGAGACATCCGACTCCCCAACAGTGGAGCCAGCTAGTACTTAGAAACGATAAGAGCAGGTGGCTGCGAATTTATAGTGATCACTTCTTGATGATGATGTAAAAAAATCTACTCGGCAATCTGCCTAAGATTCCACGACAGAGTGATTACTTTTACTTCTTAAGTGTAGAGTATTTTAGAAAGTGAGAACTTTAAACGTGATGGTGATATGGTCACCAGTCCAAAAAAAAGTCACAAGCTAAGGCCGTAACCGTAAGGTAGAGGCTTTTTCTTCATCTTCATTGGATTCGCAGTAGACGGCGTGGCAGCAGGTCCTTTAGCTCCTTTCACCATGCCTGAAGTTGAAGAAGATGCAGCTGAAGTAGTCGCTTCTCCCGAAGCTACGTCGGTCGTTCTTGACTTTGAATTTGATGTAGTAGTATGTTCTTAGAGTTAGTAGAACAATCAGAACATCAATCAGAAAAAAACCTAGTCCGAACTAATTCTTGAGGTAACAGAAACCTAGTCCGAGCTACTTCTTGAGCGTAAACGTTGTCTTAGACTATCAGAAAGAAACTTAAACTACTCTTCATCTTGTGAAGAGCATTATCTTCTTGGTGCTCTGGCGTTAGCGCCTTCCTGAAAGCGTAAGTACCTGAGTACTTGTAAAGCTAGTAGATTCCTCTAGGTAGCCTTAAACCTGTGAAGTGGTCGAACTACCAGCCGAACCCAAAATACCACTTGTAGCTGGTCCAGCGATGAAAACGCGGCGAGTGGCTGTGCTGGAGGTCTTGGAGGATTCTGATGCTGCCTTGTTATCTCCTTCTCGCCCTCCTGCAGAAAATATGATAGATAGAAAAGAGACATACAATCAGAGTCATTCGTCGGCCAAGATAATCAGAAAAAAGAGAAGAGTCACGCACGCAGCTATGATGTTGTTGTTGACTTACAAGTAGTAGTTTCGATGTAGGCAACGCGAACGCCTTTAGAGTTGGAGCTTTTCAATTATAATGGACCGAGTGGTCATCTATTGCCGAGTATGAGTGAATTTTTCCCCATAACAATTGCACTAGTTTGTTCGTTTTCTCCCGTGAGATGACTGCTACGATGCGGAAAAAGAGCAGTGCCGTCAGGAAAAACGATACTATCTTCGTTGCCGCATATTAGAACTAGAATTATGAGTCTTTTACCGTAATCTGTGGTGGGAATCGAATTCATGGATGTCTTCTTCTAGTACTTGAAAGTAGAAGAATACTGCAAGAAGAAACACGTCTCTTACGACCGCGGTACGAGAAAAATCAGAGTCGATTCATCTACATTCAACGACTAGCACACATATGCTGATAAAACTGATGAACATGATGAACTACAAGACCTTGCTCATTCATTCACGTGTTTCACCAGTCATGTGTTTCATGTGGCCTTTGCTCGAAGCCAATTCGGCGGAGTTCAACAACCAGCTAACCCTCACGGGTTATAGAAGTTTCGACCATAGATATAAGAGTTCGTTCATCATGCTCGGTTCTTTCCGAATGCGTTGAGCACTGCGCCAAACGCGACTTGAAGTCCCGATACTCCCAGAAGATCCCGTCAAAGACACTGTGGCGTCCTGATGACTTAGTAGAGCTAGAGTGTCCTTCTAACAGAAGTACAAGATGTCCTAATGGCGATGGCTTGTCCTTCTCATAGAAGAAGAAAAAGCGATATGAGTGCGTGTTGATCGTCAAGTAGTAAAAGCTTTATAAGAACGATGACAATAAAGATACTAGTCCTAAATGCATCGCAATTTGCATGCATGCCTCAACGTTCTTGAAGGAGAACAGTATTATAATGATATCCTTAACTACACCTCGTCCCGGACGAAGACGAACTAGTAAGAAGCATGATTTCTTTTTCAACTAGACCTTCTAGTACTACCTCCTAGTACAACAGCCTAACTTTGTTCGCGTTTCTGCACGATGCTCCCTGGGTTGATCTTCCGGAAAGTCAGGCCCTTCCATTTCAATAGGAACTCCTGAACCGGATAAGGCACCCGACACAAGTCTTGAAGAAGACCATGCCGAAAAAGCACGACCCGTCGTCGTCTCAGAGGACGTTGGAACTGGTGGTGGTGCAGGATGGATTAGAACGAGAACCACAATTTTTTCTTCTAGTTGTAAAAGCAGGATCTTCCATAATGTCGTCAAGAAGAAAAGACACTAGAAGTCGATTGATCCTAGTATATGATGAATTGAAGAAGTACAATACTAGTGCTAGCCCTGTATTTTGAAGTAAATGTTCATGTTGTAGAAGAGAAACTTCATCTAGGCTAGCATGAAAGAGCCATCATCAGTGGAACATCGAGACTTAAAGCTTCCGAAGTACCGGAAGGCGGAACAGCGCCATTGCCAGTCGATCTAGCAGAAGAACGACTTTTCGCTGAGAGGGCCACTACGAGTGTAGGAAGCTTTGCCAGCAGGGAAAGGCAAGAAAAAAGACGAAAAAAACTTCTTCTGCGTGTCGTTGTTGTTGTCATATTGCAGTGCATCTCCATCATCTTCAACAAATTCTAGTTAGAGCCCACCCTAATCCATCCTGAGAATCATCCTGCTCCCATTTTCCCCGTGAAAAGCTTACTCGGGTGGGATGCTTCAGAAGATGGATTAGGGCAAGCCTTAATTTAGTGTGCTATGTATGTCGAGAACGTCGGTCAAGGTGTGTCGACTGGTGAACAGCACCCGCGTGTGTCGTCGTCGTGTCCACAACTAGGACTTTACCAATACCCTCGTGAGCAGCAGCAGGCACCGGAGCAGACACCAGAGCAAGCTGACGAGTTCTAGATTACAACGAACTAGAACATCAACTATTTCAATTCTTGCTTTTATACTGACTTCTTGTCATGTCTTCCTAATGCTAAATAATGATGAATTGAATTATAAATATCACCACTGCCCAGGAATACTTGAACTTGAAGTAGAAGGAGTTAAGGTTAAGGAACTTATTATACTGAATTCTTGTCATGTAGTACCTCCCCATCAAAGTATTCTTAATGATGAATTGAATTATGAATATCACTACTACCCCAGGAATACTTGAAGTAGGAGTTAAGAAACTTAATATACTTATTTCTTGTCGTCGTGTACCTGTATCTTCCCATTGAACTACTGGTGAAGACGAATAGACCAGTTCTTCCAGTGGCGTCTCTCATAGAACGAGAAAGAGGAAGGACGAGGAGGAGGAAGAGGAAGAAGATGTAAAATAAAAGTGAAGAGACAGAGTCACGCCATGTTCCTGTTCCATGTGCTCTCTCTCGATCGCAGTCACTTCTTGAGTAGAAGAGTACGACCGAACAAGTGGCTCTGAAAGCATGCAAGATCTCGATGCATGGAGAGGACCGTGAACCAACTAGCTACAACCAGCACGAGGATCATGTGTTCTCCTAATATTGCCTCACCACAAATTTTGGAGTAGAAAACTTGATATTGTCTTTGTCATTGTCTTTGTAATCTTTATGTAAGATTTCACTTCATGAGACACGAAAGAAAATCAAGATTACTCGGCACACTTGTTGATGCCTCAAACGCTTTCATATCGCTTTCCGGACTTGTCAGATGGGTGAGCGTGGCGGGGGTGACGCTCTTTATAATTACTTCGAGGGGATAGGATATGTACAGCTACAGGGTGTCTCTGCTTCACGGAGACGTTGCCCGACAACGGTTGTCGTGCTCGGATTTATACGTCGGTTGGTCCTAACACGACAACTTCCCCGTTATTATCGTTTAGGATTTATGCCTTTAAGAATATTGGAAAGTTGGGTCGACAACCTAGAGCATTGGGCTGCTCAAGTTGAGGCAACTGGAACGCGGGTTATTGTTGTAATCAGAGATCGTGGAAGATCTCGCAAGCTCGTGCAGGAACGAGCAGGAGGCTCAACAAATCAAAACAAAACTGATCTTACGGAGAAGTTGTCGTGCTCGGGCCGTCAGGACTAAGGATGGTCTAGGGTTAATACCTTTGGTTTAAGAATATGGAACACTATTATGAATTACAATCAGACTTATCGGATTAGACCTGTTAAGAATTGTAATTACCTGAGTTATAAAATGTACAACATAACGAAGTAAGGAGTTCCTCTGAATTAATTTACCATTTTTCAAGTTTTTGGGTTGTGGGTCATCAAAGTATCTTCCATAAAACCAGATTTCAGATTTCGACCATGTTACTCTTTTGCTTCAAAAATTTTCATGTTCACAACTGCCCAAATTATGTTCGCTCATCTTCCTGTGTTCGTGCTTTTCCTCTATGTATCGCCGTAGGCTTTCGTCTTCGCATCCGCGTTCCATTACCATATGAAAAAACTTTGTACCTGTGCAGTTTAGTAGTTTTCTGGTGCTCGTGGTTGATGTGGTGGTCCTCTAAAAATAGAAAAGCTTTCGTCTTCCAGGAACAATACAATATTAAGCTTCGAATTACCTGTTGTATTCAATACTTTCTTTTATCAAGTAATGTGATGATGATGTAAAGTTGAAAATAGAACTAACTATAAGAAGATGTCCATAAAGCGGGTATACCTAACATGTAGGAACTTCAACTTGAACTTTCTTGCTCGTCCACAAATAAAAAGTGTCGCCCTTTCGTCGTCATATTCCCACTCATTCGTTTCCCAATTACTCCTCTAAGCATACGAAAAAAAAAATTGTACCTGTACAGTTGTAAAGTAAGTTTTTAGTCGTGGTCCTCCAAAAGTGGAAAAGATTTCGTCTTGATTGATTGAGAATGAGTAACAATAATAAAGCTGCATCGTGTGCTGTAGGTGAAGCCTTCCTAGAGAAAATGAAGAAACTGAAAAAATAAGTACATGCGTTCTCTGTCTTGTTTCGTGTTCATCGTTTCTGGTAAACTTCTGTCATCAACATGTTCGATCTCGCTTTCCACAAATATAGACTCATGCTCGTAGTATTCATTTCCCACACCGACCAACCATGATATAAAAGCTAAAGAAAGTACCTGAAGATGGGAAGTAAAAGAAATGTAGATAGTTGCTCTTGTTCGTTGGTCCAAAAGTTAAAATATCAATTACTCCGTTCCTTCTGCAGCACGCGAATGACGGTTAGTAAAAAGAGACCACTCATCGAAGGAAGAAGAAGTTGGATAACAAAATCACAAGATAAAGTAGCGTTAAGGACGATGATTCAAGAAGACTAAGAAATATATTATGTACCCGAAAGCTAGTCCGCAACACAGGTTGCCGCCTAGAATCAACATGCACGACGAGACGTCCCTTCACATTCACTCTGCATGCATATGGTTCTTATGAAACTCGCTGTCCTGCTTCGTAGTCTCCCGCGTACTTCCATTATCTTTCTATCATTTCCCCACATCACTAAAAAACCTGGCATATTGTGGGACGTTTGTAGCAGGTGGGTAAATAGTGTAGTGGGATAAAAAAATTTTGCAACTCCTCCATGTAATGTTACATACACTTACACATAAAAAAATAATTTTCGGAGATGACAACGCCAGGGTCACGACCTGTAGCAATGTTTCTGATCATGAGTGAGTATGAGTTGTAAGACCTCCTCCTAGTGTGGAAAATACAAACTGTAGTACTTCAAGGTGACTTGAGTGTTTTATTGCAGCTGTGCGACAGATGCGTCGCGCTGCTTCTTGTTGGATCTGGCGTTCATGGTGCCATACGGGGTAGAGGAAGAAGGCTCACATCCCGTCGACGACGATGTGCTCTCGTTCCCGACGTCGCCTGAAGCCGTTGTCGTCTGCTCGGTCGTTGTGATAGTCGACGGTGCGATTTTCGTCCCCTCATTCGCACCTTCGTACTTGTCGTTTTTCTTGTTGCCGATCTTAGAGACAAAAAAATTTTAAAAAAACTGAAACAGACCTTAAACTTAAAGTAACCTATCTTTTGCTAATATACAGCTCATCTGCATCTTCTTCCCATGTTACATGTCCTATGACTTGAAATGGAAAAGTCGAGCAAACACATGAGTACTTTCCTCGAGACAACATGTGAAAATCGAAAACCGCAATAAAGCAAGTTGCTCGTCTTCTGCTTCGTGCTCCTGGTGGCCATGATCAACAACTATCACAATTCATATACAACAGTCCTTGTGTGCTACCTAAGCCTAACAGAGTCTAGTTGATTAACAAGAATCGCAATCGTCTTCTAGCGACTACTAGACGAATTCGTCCAAAAAACCTTAATTCGCAGGATTACAATCACAACGAGGACAAGATGTATAGTACGGTTACAGTATGATACTTAGGTGCCCTATCTGTTTTCGTTTTTTTTCTGTTGGTCTCATCATCCTTGATGTCATCGACAATATCCGTGGCGGCCATGGTCTCGGAGGCTGCGTCCTCCTGTGTTAGAGCTCTCAGATAGGAGTTTCAGAATTGTAAGCAACAAAACTGCAAAACTGATATTGTTCTTCAAGATCATATATTTATATGACATGGGTAAACTTCAGTGCAAGAAGATTAGTAAATGCTATAAAGCCAGCGCCAATCTTCATGCACTCGCACTGATAAAGTATTAGTGTTGAAGGGAGTACTACTTCATTTCAATTTTAGTAACGATAGATCCCATCGAAATACACTTACATCTTTTCTTAAACGCTGTAATTGCTCCATCATTCGCTCACCACCGCGAGTCCAGTTCTTACTTGCAAACAGGGAGAAAAGGAGCAGAGCGACGCAGCTGCACACGACACTGAAGACGAAGTACGTGGTTCTGCTCACGGTCACGTTCCACCATGAAAATTGTCCTCGTCTTTGTTAGACGTCTTTTTTCTTGTATCTGTCAGCAGCAGCAGGTTAGTCAATATAAAAATAGCAAGTACAACGAGATACATAGGTACTGCTACTGGACCAGTATCAGAGGATAGCAGGACAAGACTCCATTCGTGGTAAAGCTAAAAAGAATAATTAAAATTATCTATTCCAACTCCGGGTCCGGCTACATTCTATTATAACATGTGAATGTGTTCTGAGAGCTGGCTTTGGACGTGGAGTATGAAAATGAATATGAATTGAAAAATCAAAATAAACTACATGAACATTGAAACAAGCCTGGGAAACTCGATTGTAATGCTTTGCAGCTTAAAAAGTGAAAATTGTGTCGCCATTGTTATCACCTTTTTCATCTGCGTTCCAGGAGTAAACAGGAGGGCAATAAACTACGAAGATAGCTCACACTAAATTATAGACGCTGACAAAATCATAATTGACAGGCTGTGGGGCGTTGTGCGAAGCCTCCGAGTCCACGGTCTCGAGAAAAGGGTCCCTGTTGGCGACCCTGGTAACGCGAGATGAAGATGATGAAAGTTCCACGTGAACGCCATGATCAGAAAGGTCAACGTCGGCCGTGGAGACGAATGATATTTCGCTGAATGCTGGTTCTTTTTGCGAGGCATCTCCACCACCAATTAGTGACCATAAATACGCAGGGAGGCGCGATAGCGTTCGGACCCACGAGGCAGCAGTGTCTTCCTCCTTCGGCGCCGCTTCTACAATCGTCTTACTGTATATTCCCTTCTCCTCCTCGCTTGTGGGAGTGAGGTAAGTACCCTTTTCCTCTGCGTTCTTGACCTCAGCCCTCCTCCCCCTCTCCCCGAAGTCATAATCATGAAGGCGGAGGCCATCCATGCTTGTAGTAAGGTTGACTAGACGGGTCAGTCCCTTTTATAACGAGCGAAGGCGTGACCTCGTGACACATGGGGAGTAGCCTCTTGTAAAATGCACGAGAAAACACAAAGCAAAGAAGCCCGCTATAGAATGGAGCGCGATATAAATGCTTTGCAAGGAAGGATAGCCTAAAAAAGGCAGAAAGAAGAAAACAAGCCGGCTGCTTATTTAAGTGCTTTGCGAGCGATATAAATAGAAGGGCAAGCGCCAGATCAATATCTGCTCATCCTCATCCGCTTCATTCAGAAACAGGCGACACACTTCACGAAGCAAACGACTCGCAAGGGCCTTGCAGGTGATCGCTGAAGTGAAAGGCTCTGCGAATCATTTGACCCGCGGTTCCCCTCTACTTCATGTACCGGCAAAGAAAGAACAAGAAGCGCCCACGAATCAACGGACTCAAGACCACTTCGCGAAGGAGAAAAGCCCTCCATCCGTCTCCATCAGGCAAGTGCACTGACGCTGTATGGTACCAGCATACGCCCCTGGATGGCGCCAGCGTACCTACGCCTCCTACGTACGAGTCAGTTGATTCGCGTTGATTCATGGCCGGCGCATGAAGATGGGTCTAGCCCTCAAAGAGGGCGGCAGACTTGAGGCCCTCGCCCTGCAGGTGACGCCCCTACAACTGAGAGAGGCCCACGCCAGCCGCCCACCAACGAACGCCTTGACAAGAGGGGCACAGCCTCGCCTAGCTCCGAAAGCGCCTAGGCCTACCCACTGCGGACACGGGGGAAGAGGCATCCCAGGAGCCAGAACTCTCTCCCACTTTTCAGCTCATCTACATGCACCCAGGCATCCACTAACCTCCATGGACCCAAACATGGGTAAGAAAAAACGACCACACCAGGCGAGGGGGCGACTGCTCCCTAGCCAGGGCTGTGGACGATTTTGAGCACCCACCATGGAAAAAAAGCACTACAGATTTCTGAAAAGTGGCCCTTTCCTGACACTGGCCACATGGGTCCAGACATGGGCTGCACGGGCCCCAGAATGATATCCATAAGAGGCACGCAAGTGATGCCGAGCCCAACACGCAACCCTTGAAAGAAGTAGAGCTAAGAACAAGAACACACACCGCGCCCCGCCAGCTGGCGCACTCATCCTGCGCGACGAACGCTGCCGGCGCGTGTCCTGCTAGAAAAAGGCACACTGCTTCTCGCCCATTGCTCTAGCGCTAGCCAGCGATCACCGGCAAAGCCAGAGTGACTGAGTGACCGATCGACGAAAACACGGCGCCGGGCGACCACCATACCCCAGCAACACACCGTGGCGCCCCAGCACAAGACGCAAGCCCACATCGCTGGCAAAACCAAGCGGAGGGCAACACCTAGCGCACGCAGCAAAGCACTTCGAGAAAGGGGACCGGCTGACAAACTCTGCGGGACACAAAGGGGGCGCACTCAGCTCGCCACGCTCTCAATGGGATAGATGCTGCTCCCGCGCATTTCTCTGCAAACATACAACGCAACTCGCAAAAAGAAAGGGGCACACCACCCACAGACGCAGACAGCCACAGAGAAACGGGCGCCCATCTGCCAGCGCTGGATGCGCCCAATCGGCAAAGACGGCACACAAGAAAGGGCGAGCTGGGCTGTCAACCTACGGCCCACGACAATAGAGCAGCGCGCTTCAAGTAGCATTCTAGTTCTGTGCCCAACGCGCACCGCCGCACTAGAATCCAAGCGACAAACTACCTAATCTAGACGCCAAAGGCCAGCCGCTTCTTGCCAGCCGCTTCTTGCGGTGTTTTGAAGTGAGGTAGAAAAACCGACCCCAAGATCTGCAAGCATGGACTTCCTACGCCTAGTCATAATACTTGCTATGAAACGCACGGGACCTCGCTAGGATTAGCCGAGCTTTCGTCGGAAAGCCTTCTGCAGCTTCTTGAAAGTCTATCCCCGCACTCAGCTCCTTTTTTGTCTTCTCCATGTCAAACGTTTCACGGAGCGCCTTGAGGACATCAGCATTACGCTCCTGCTTCATCACTCGAAGCTCGGCCAGCGCGGGTTTACGTTTATCTTCATTGCCACTATGAACCTGCCCAAAATACTCCTCTTCCTTCTTAGATTCCTGCTCTAGTAAAAGATTCCCGTACGGCCTCGTCTGCCTCAGCACTTTCAGTTCCTCTGTAGCCAATGCCAGACGCAGCATATCGTAGCAAGTAGACAGCCTATCCCAAGAAA